AATGAACTGTGTCCCCCTCACCAGGCCCTTACAAAGACTGATACTTTCTAAAAACTTTTCAGAAGTCAGGAGTAGGGAACTTATATTACTATGCTGGCTCTCCTTGGATGAATGCCCACTGACATTTGTCTTTGATGCTGCCGAGTCTTTTTGACTGCTTGTCCACAATCACTACCCTTAAATCACTGCCTTCCCCAAATACATGCTGCTGTCTTTGTTCTGCAAACCCTCCTTACCTTTAAGAGTAGGTTTTCTAGCAAGACAAAGCTAGACTTTGCACAGATTAACAGTTGCCATCATAGCTACAGACAGTACTCCACTTAACATTTTATTGAGATACTGTAATACAACTTCAAGGGAAAAAAAGTGTGTGTCTGTCTTCTCTTCTACTATATCCCTATCCACTCACACCTGTTCCCCCAAATGCATGCAGACTGAGAGTACCTAGGGTATCCTTGGGTAAATTTAGGGATGCTTATGTCCATCCATCAGCTCAATTTAACTCTGGGTCTTGCCAAGTATTTTTTAATGTTCTTTGCGTCACTTAAAAATCCTTAGAATGGCTTTCCCCTTGGCTCATATGAATCATTATAAACCTTTAATGCATTTCTTTGGTTCCTAATGCACTGTACACAGGACATTAATTACACATAGATGCATAATGAAGAACTCAGTGTATACTCCGTTTTCTACATAACTTTCACTAACACTAAATGTAGTAACAAGATTCAAATTGTCACAGTTTAAGCAAATCCTATTTCAGGCCTTCTTGGGCCTGTTCCTTGAGCTAGAGTTAAATCAGACTGCATGTCACACAGGAAAAATCAAAATGGACATACACTGCTTTAGAGACATTGCACTAATACATTAGAAGAGTGTGTGGGGGCTTTATTTTTAAGCAGTTTCAAGGTACATGAGGAGTGCACTATCTTTCCAAAGACATGTCTCACAATTAACACAACATGACCATTTTGTGAAAAAAGATCAGTGAATGACTTCCTAACTGTACCTGAAAAGTAAACCACACTTAAATTTTCTGTCTTCCATCTTTGAACCTGTGTATTAGGCTCTGGGCATTTAATATCTTACTTGTCAACAGACTGTTGACGAGAAAGCCACTGCTCCCCCATGAGACTAAGCTCCCACAATGTCTTCACAATCTTTCTCCCCTCCCCAGTGGCAAACAGACCAGGTAGTATTATATCGAAGAGGGCAGAAGGGGAACTGCCACCTGCATTACTCATGAGTTGAAGTTGCCTTGTTTAAACAGAAGTGGCAGAATTACAGCGGTATAGATATCATGGTGCTGAATTCTCTATCCCACAAAAATTCTTTAGTAAAACTTTTAGAAGCAATTCATGAATACTTCCTCAAGGCTAATATTTTCCCACATACTACTACAGTACTAAGAAAAAAGTCAGTCATAAGAATCAGCTGCTAAACCTTTAAAATATCCAGGGTTCTCCAAAATATTATACTAAGCCAAATTGCAAGAGGAAGTTGATGCCTACAAATTACTCTGATTTTCAAAAATGAAAACATAACAAGTTATGTTTAACAAAGGTTGGTGAAGCTCCTATTTCACTAGTGGAAAAGCATTTCCCTTTCTCTAGAAAAGATCTGCCAAGGTTTAACTATTTAAGAGTCACAATTAAAGGCCCTGTCTTAGTAGAGAGTGAAGACTCACAGTTAACTGCAAGAGCCCTTTATCAACTTGAATTCTCTCAAAGAAGCCACTCTTGAAAAAATCCTATTCTAGATATTCAATATAGTTAAAATATTACAAGACTACCCAAACTAGGAAGAGTTCTTAAAAAATATTGGTTTATTAACATTTGCACACTACCTTGTTGGTTTATGCCGCAAATCAATCATCACATCTACAACAGCCTGGGAACAATTGGAAAGTAGGAGAGTGACAGGTACCAGACAGAGGCTGCAAAGAGAAACAGTTCCACATTAAAGAAAAAAATAATCTTATTTTGGATAGTCTTAATTATACTCGTAAATAGTTAAAATTACTTTCAGTAACACAGAATTTATATGTAGTTGTCAATTATTCCAGAGTCAAGACAGCATAGGTAGAAGTATAATCACTTACACTGACTAGAGCTACTTATAATAAAAGTTGTCAATTAAGGCAAACAACATTGGCTCAATTGGGCCAAATGAAATTACCACCTCTCTTCATCCAGCTGAGAAAGGAGAGAAGCAGCACAAATACCATCTCAGTTTACAGGAAACCTGGTTGTGTGACATGAGACATTCCAGAATGGGACAACATGGTCCAGTATACTATTTTCTGAATTTCTGGTTGGCATACTTAGACTGAATACTTTTCTTCTGCACTGCCTCCCGTAGAGGAATTGCTGACATTGGGCCTTAAGTTATAACCTGAACAGTGCCCAGCCAGAACAGATAGCACATGTATATCTGGATTTAATGTAGGCCTTTATACTAAATAAAACGAATACCATTAATTGATATTCTGCTTGTTCACAATTACTGTTTCTATAAATAAAGCTGCAGCAAGAAAGACCCCAAGAAATTGACAGGCAGGAACACAAACTACTGCAGCTAAAACAGCTTGTATTCAGCAAGTGATCTGTGTCACTGGAAATCCTTGCCATTGCCTAGCAGTTTAAATACCCTAAACTTGAATTGTAAGAAAAGAAAAATTAGAGACTGTAACCAATAAGAGGTGACTGTCTTACAGGGATAATGCATGCTTTATCACTGTCATTAAAATACAGCACCTTCTAGAACATTTAAATGCTAGATTTTAGAAACAAATCCCTTTCTTTTGACAATTTATATTAACTGTTATTAAAAACTAACACAGTAGAGCTTTCAGATAAACTCAAGCCTAAAAATAGGTTTATACTTGAAACCTTCATGTTTCAAGTACAACTCATTTAATGTTCAGAACTTAAGCCAGGGAGTTTGTTCATATCATTATAATTTTGAAAGACTCGTGGATTTTACAGGCTCCAACCAATTCACTCTAACAGCAGGCTTTTTGACAGAGGTTATTACTTCCAGGAGACAAGCTCCAGTGATCTGAACCGTTACCACCTTTCCTTCTGACGTAAGTCAGAACCATGTGCAGCTAATCTTGGCAAGTGAGACCTGTAGACATAACAGCTCCTTTGAGCTAAAAGTACATCTTTCTCTCTGTCTGGCTTCTCAAAGAAATCACACTGTTAACTCTGACAACAAAAATAAACACAAAGGAAGCAGACTTTTTTTCAGTAAGTTCGATAACATTACTTGTTAACATTAGAACTGTGAGCTATGGAACTACAGTCTATTCTTTTTTACATGGAACTTTCATTTTACTTATAAACTTTTGAAGCAGTGAGTTTAAAAATTTAACAAGATTTCACACTTATGTACCAGACTTTAATATCATAATGCACACAGCATCTCTCAAATGGATTTATGTCCAATTAACAATATTTTTAAAGTTTCTAAAGATAATGTTTCACTAACCTTTTTTGATGAAAAGAATGACTAAAAGACTCTGGATAATGAAGACTTGTCTTAATAAGATTAGAAAGCTGCTCTGGTGTTGGTCTTGCAGGTACCGGTGTGTTTTCTGGTCGAAAAAACTTTAATAGAACTGTTTCTGGTAGTTCCTGAAACAAATTGAGAATAACACTGAAAATAGTAACATAAGGTACAAGAAATCCAGGCACAGAAGTTTCAATTCTCCATTATGAACTATAGCTCATAAGGGAAACAAGTTTGCAGCATCATGAACCTCACATTTTTTTCCAACGTGCTTTGTATTTAAGCATGCTGGACGAGGAACTGATATAACTTATCTATTACCCTCTTTTGAAATAGATTTCATGGTTGCTTACGAAAACACTTATCTGTGCAAGTTTCACAAAAGCACACTATTGTTGCAGTAGTTTGCTAGTGCTTGGGTTTGGCTTCTAGGGAAAAGGAACAGCATTTACACTGTTCCCTGTTCAGCAGCTGTACCTAACAACAAAAAAATTCATCACCTGCCCTAGGAAGTTCAGGAAAACCAATGCATAAGTTTCCCAGAACACATCAGAAGTAAATCAAATAGAAATATACAGGAACATGTGAACACTGACAGAAGGATTGAATAACAGTTTCTTTGAAATTGCATAACAAGCAGTTGCAGATTAGAAAGTTACCTTTCATCTCCAGCTGAAAGCCCAAGACAAGCTTAACACACTACCTAGGATTCCCCCTAACCCTTTGGGTGGAATGAGTCTCTGAAGCAGAAATTAAGTGATAAAGAAAGCTGCAACCAGCCTGCATTTGGTGCAGCATTTTTAACATAATCTAATCTGGTTTGTGAGCAGGATTTATTCAGGAAGGGCCTGCCCTTTAGTACATCCTTATGAACCTATTCTGCAGAAAATCCATCTTTAAAGGAAAAAAAGAATTTGCAGCAGTAAATGTCACTGCTTACTAAAAACACATTAAACAAGATTTTTAAAAAGCCACCAGTAAGATGGCACAATATAATAAAGTTAATACTTTTCATTAAAATGTGATAGCCTGTACCTTTTAAGTTGAAAAGAAGCAGTACAGGCAATGAAACCTGATTTAAAAACCAAACACACTGGGCATTCGGAAATGTGTATGAACATCTCAGTCACTGTGCTGATAATACCAGGAAGACACCAAAAGTTTTCACAGGCTTGCAAATCCTCCCTTTGAAAGGAAGAGTGTTTTTTTTCAAAAAGTAATTTAAGAAGAAAAAAATATTTTCCATAGTAACAATAAAATATATTTTAAGTGTTGAATGAATTTGCTGTTTCCATCCTATTCTATCTAACAATGCAAACTGGCAGCATGAAACACAGCAGAGATTATAGACTTTCATTTAAATTATTCTCTCCCTTCAGATAATAGTCCAACCAATTTTCAAGGTTGCCTTCAACCACATAGCAATAGCCTACATAGTGCAGTTTGCCCTAAAGTCAATTACCTGTTCCAAGTCCTCCCAATCAGAATTCCCGAGTATTTTTTTAAAACCCTACAAAAGACAAATACGAATATTTACCTCTACAAGTAGACAAGAACATCATGAAATGCAGCAGAAACATTTACTGGTGAAAGTGTAGAGTGCTTCAAATCTTTAGTTCTAATATTACACCTCTCATGAAGGACTGGAAAGCAGCAAAATTAATCATTTTCTGCAGAGCTAAACCTTAATTCCAGCTACCTTCTGGGTGTTAGAATCAGAAAAGATGTCTGTCTTTCCAAGTTTAGCTGCTGAGACTCTAGGCTTTTTGTGATTGTGAACCTAGAACAAAGGCTAAGATACGACATTTAGCCCATTTTTCTTTTACCTAATGAATGGTTCAGGAAAGAATTGAGGACTTCCAAACAATAACCAAAAGTTGTGCATGCAGCTCAGAAAGCTACCTAGAGACTGCTAATAAATGCTAAGTTTTAAGGATGCATTAAACTCCTGCCCTATTCTGGAGCTCGTGAAATTGGATCAAGGCTTAAAAAGAACCAAACCAAAAGCCCATACCTACTTGGCACCCATACTTTCCTTTCAAGAATATACCCAAGCAGTAACAGCCTTATACTCAAACAAAGCAAAAGAAAAATCAAGAACTGAACAGGTGATATTTTGTTGTTGAACTCCTTGATTATCAGCCCAAGTGAAGTATTGCCTTTTAAAAGAGGAAAAAAAAAATTCTGACACCTAAAATCTGCTTGTTGACCCAGTGTGGTTCTTTGCAAAGCCTCCAGAAGTGTCACAAGCTCTAGCAACCAGCAAAAGCTGCATACAAGAAAGCCACATCAATGGTTAGGGTTGTCTCGTTGAAAAAACAGTTATGGTGTAATTTGAGTGTCTCATCTATACAAACTGGTAGAGGTAGAGAGGCTTGACTGGAAGAGGAGTGTGTGTTTGTTATTGTTTTACATTTTATAGCTGCATTTTAAAGCTTTTCAGCTTTGCCTAAAAATACACACCAAGCATTAGCACCAGAATGGCAGTGCTCCTTCAGTTACGTTCCAAGAGCTACAAACTGCACAACTGGTGATTGAAAAGTTGCTTTCTATTTTTAGAAAGCTTCTTGTTCCCCAAAGCCATTTACAAAGGCTAGCTTCAAACAAATACAGTCAAATCTAGACAAAAGATTTCTAATTCAAGCAGAATAATCTCACTATCTTCACTTATTTGTGTTACAAGAAAGTCATTAGTCTGGTATTTTGTTACTTTGAAATAGCTATAAATCATCTCTATATACACTTCTGAAATGGTGCTTTAGTCACTCACATCAGTTTCAGCTCTCTTCTGCAATTATACTTAGCTAAAAGTTGAAAAAGCAACATTTTAACAATTCAAAGCATCTTTTAATAGATGTAACAGACAGATCTACCCATAATACATTCCTCAATATCTTAGAATGCAGTTTCAAATTGAAAAGTTCTTCCCTTCCCTCAGATGAACAGAAGTGATGGTATCTTCACATACAGTGACTTTAAAAGATTTTTATGCCCAATATTATACAACCTAAAGTTTTAAATTTCATAAACAATATTCTTAGAGACTGGGTCAATGTGCCCTTAAGCACACCATAAAAAGGTAAGTACTGCACTTTGATTTCCAAGTTGTACACAAGATCAGCATATTTGCCCCATAAACCACAAGTCACATATAGCCAAAAGGACTGACATGCTCAGTCAAATATGAGGGACCAGTATGCACAGCACAGAAGAAAACCTAAACACTAAACTCTTGAATGGAGCTAAGCATAAGTAAAAGGAGACTATATGAAAGCAGCAGAATAAGAGTGAGACATCTAAATTATGTGCTTTACTCCCTTTCCCATTTTAGATCTGAGAATTTCCATTTTAAAACCTCAGTTTTAAGTTGCTTCCTTCAATATGTGATTCATCTATATTCATTCTAGTTCTCAACTTACAGAAATGACAACTCCAGGAATAGAATTTTACTGATATCAAGAATAATACATTAGAAAACAGATATCTTGTGCTCTGCAGTCCATAATGGGTAAAACAGCATATCAACTGTTGCAACTATTTGTAATATTTCATTCATGACAATCATATAAGCCAGATCTCCCAAACTGGTACTGTATCTGCTCCATTAATTGATATAAGAGAATTAAAAATGTGTATTTCAGCTCTTGATGTTGATTTACCCTTAAGAACTTTGCTTTTCCTCTGCTGAGGTGGTTTAAGGAAAGTCTTAAATCCTTCCAACAATCTCTGTTTTATTCAAGCATCTCCTCCCACATATTCTGTAAAGAAAGTCCTGAACTAGCAAAATATGTCACTTCCAGTAATAGGCAAAATAGTTACTTAAACCCTATCCTCTCCTACATTTCAAGAATTCCTGCTTCCAGCCAAACTGTTTTTGACTCACTAAGCTGCATGTATTTTAAGCAGCTATCTTACGTAAAATTATCCTTTCTGCTTGCATCCATTCTATACACATTTTATGGATTTTACTTTGGGCTAGTACTGATCTAATTCACAGGACTAAATATGCAGTCCTGAAGCACACCTGCAAAGGATGGATGCTATTCCCAACATGCCAACATTCAAATGACAAACCTCTAGGCTGCTTCTTGCCTTCCATCGGTGTGAAGTCTTTAAAAACCAGAGATGTGCCAAATGTCATATTACTTCCACTATTACTTCCATTCCACCATATTACACTGCACTTTTCTTTTGGAATCTTTTGGATTGAATTCACCAGATTAGGAAAACAGGGAAGAGAGCAGCAAGAAATAATATTAATCAACAGCCCAGACTATGACTGGATGTTTATTGCATTTGAAGTCCTGTAATGCATTTTTGTCCTTTCACTAATTTAAAGCAGAAAGGTCAAGAAGAAGAGAGAGAGTAGCTGTGTTTCAGGTGCAATCTTAAATTTGCCTTCAGTTAAAACTACCTGATTCCAAAAGCATGCTTCAGAATAGAAACAGAACCTATAGCAGTCAAAAAAACCAGCCATGATTTACAAACACTCAACTAAATTTATAAGTGAGGCTTTTATTACTTGGCCTGAAATGGATCTATTCAAAGCAATTCACTTTACTTACACCTCATGTGATTTTTTTCCTTCATATATTGCTGCCTGTGACTATTAACACATCACTCTGCGGCACCTTCTGATTCAAGGCAACAAATTATATTTAGCATTTTTTCCCCTGCCTTTAGCCAAAGGACGTTTTTTCAAAACTACAAATGAGAGGAAGGATAAGAAGATAAATGTTTTCCATATAATCTGGAGAGATTTCTATATGAAACTAATAAACACTTTAACAAAGTAAATATTCTGTAAGTGTTCCTTCAGCACACTACATGTTATGACTCCAAACCTCCAGACCATGAAAGTCTAAGTAGTTCGATCACATGTCCTGGTAGGCCTACTGTGTCCAGTAGCCTACGCTCAAAAGTAATGCTATTTTGTTATACAAAAAAATCTCTAGTGTAAACAACAACAAAAAAAATCTGTATTCAGTGACAGAAAACCAGCTTTAAAGTCATAGTTGTTGTAGACTATTTTGAACAAACATGGGAAGAAGAGGGAGCATGTGAATTTGAGCATGAAAATAATATTTGTACAGAATTTTACTATTACTTACGTTTTTAATATGATGGTACATATAAAAATTTTACCCAGAAAAACATTTTAGCCTTTCCCCAAGCCCTACTAGATGTAACCAGGGGTTGTATCTTGATTTTATCAAATACTACAGCAAGTTATGCTACTGTGATACAGGCAACTCTGTAAGCCTGCACCCTGCTGTCTGTTCCACACCCTGGTAGAGCATTAAATGTCCCACAAGGAACCAAGCAGAAGTAACCACCCATGACTGTAGCTCAGTCAGCAGTCTAACACTTTACAGACGTATGAGGATGAATTTATGTCAGTTCACCCCAACTACCAATCTACCAGCAACTGCTGGAACAACTTAAACATAACACGCTAAAGAATATCAACCTCCTGTTCTACACTACAGTGCTTTACTAAAGTTTTGTTTCCCTGAATAGTAATAGAAGCTTCTGTGAATCCAACTTACATATTTATAAGCTGGCAAAGAGTTAATCTGATATACACCACAATTGACAATGTAGCAGAAGCCAACCAGTACAGAGAATTTAACCAAAACATAAAATTAGTGATCTCATTTTGTTCAACAGAGTTATCTGATTAATTTGGCTAAGATTAGAGCCATTTCTCAGAGGACTAAAAGAAATAAAAGTGGGGGGCAGAGAGGAATTTTGTTCATGTTTCCTCAATGTCCATTGTGAGATTGTTCTTGGGCTGGGGATAGCTGTTTGTGGCTGCCAAAATTCCTTTGCTGGTTAAAATGGCATGAAGCAAAAGAAGTCAAGAAGAAAGTCACTGTAGATAAGCAACAAAGAAAACTCCGCAATAAATGCAGACAGTGGACTCTTGCATCCTAGGTGACACCCTGTTCGGAGTCTGGAATTACTTTTTTTTTCCCCCAGATCAGAGCAGCCCTCTATCATTTATGAACTGGTAATCCACATGTGTTAGTAAAAAGCATGCACCTCCATCTCCCTCTGCTGTCGATTCCTCAGAAAACAACCAACTTCAGTACTGTCAGCACAAGGCAAGTCAGAAACAGTCTACAGGAGTTTCCAACCCTGTTCATGACTTAAGAGAATAAATACAGACTTAGAAGACAAAATTATACACTGAAAATACTAAATTAGAGGTAAAGTCTGAGTTTGGGATTTTCTACCACTGCTCCCCCCCAGATTTTCACCACTCGTGTAATTTTAAAAGAGCAAGATAATTCAAAGACAATATACAATTCTTAAGAGATTAAGTACATTATTTTCTCTATCTAGTCTAATTTAATTCTATCTTGGCAAGTCTTTTAATTCTGAAATGTGGACTGAATAGAGTAAACTGCTGCAAAGTCTCAAATCAATTAATCAGTTACACCTCACCTCCTACCTCAGAGCAGTCTATCTGCTCTCCTCACACTATTATGATCCAATTTTTTAAAAAAGTAGTATGCAAGGATATGCAATTTCTCAATTCTTAGCAGTCCTGAGATCACAGGTTCTTAAAATTCATGCTAACTCTAGGCTTTGGCTATCATGAGGACACAGAATTTACATGTTTATTAAAAAAAACAACCATCAATTACTCTTATAGCAGATTTAAACTGCATGACAATGCAGATGCTTTCTTACTTCCAACCAAAGTACAAAATGCTTCAAAGGAAGTGTGTTCCTCATACTCAAGGAAGTGAATACAATAATCAATGTAGAATCTATATGAAGATAGTTGTAATAAAACCAGATGAGAAATGGATTTTAGACAGAGAATGCCAATATAATAGCATATATTCCTAAAAAAAACCATTGAGAGTACATATAGATCTCCTTGCTGCTGGTGGCAGGATCAATTCCTTTAATTTGAAATTTATTGTGATACAGACAAATAGAGTTCCAGTCAACAAGAAATGTGAAATTCTACCCATACTCTATTCAGTCATTTGTTTTATTTTAGGATGTAGATGTGATTCATTTGAGAATCAGAACTTGATGAGATCAGAAGCTCAAAGTATTGTGCCCGCTAACCTTAGATGTCTACAGTGTGATCTACTGTTCTACATATACATTAAGACAGGGAAAGTAATACATGACCAGGCAGTTGTCATTAGATTAATACAGCCTCTTATACTGCTCAGCATAGCTAGAGTACATGTGTGCCAATTCCCCTTTATTTCATAGCACAAATACCTAAGTGGAAAAAATTAACTTAGCAATGTACAAATACTTAAAGGTTGATAAACCAAAGCCAAATGCACAGCTTCAGAGTAATTCACTACATGCATTATGGTATGGTATTTATAGGAAGACGTATTTCTTGACAAAATTAGTACATAGTACTCTTTGCTGCAGCTTTAAGAGCTCACTAAAAGCTACGTATTATGTTTGCAATAGTGGTCAAAACGTTAAGCATGGCACCAAAACAAGAGGGAACAGCAATATGCTGTTCAGGAGAAGTCTAAACAAGCACAAGATTTATTTCCTCTTATTCTGAAGATTAGTCTTCTTCATCCACATAAACTGAATTTAGTACAGATGTTTTTACAGAACCTTATCTGTAACTTCCGTAGTTGTTATCAATTCATGTACCAGAAGACAGCCACCAGCTTCTTACAGATGGTGTTTTCTTTCATCAGGCAAAGCAACTATAAACTTCACCATTTTATAAGTAAATTTGTTATGAAATAATCATTACTTTTCATACTGTTAACAAGTTTCTAGTTCTACCTGAAACACCAAAGAGAGTTTGCTTCAACAACAGCTCACCAACATGCTTACCTGCATGTTGCTTTTCTCATGTTTCAACTGGGCCTGGCTAGCTCAATACAGAAGACTAAGCAAACCTGGATTCAGTCAGCCTGAATTATGTAGTAATAACTCATACCTGACGTTAAGATTCTACAGAAGCTTCCTCTTACATACTAGAGAATTCATTAAATCTATTTAGAGAAAGAAGCAATTGTAAAGGAAAACTTCGCAGTAGATTACCTGTTTCTGAGGAAATGAAAAGGCCTCCTTCCCAACTGTGTTAAGGGCAACATGATGCTGACCCTCCAAAATAAGCTGCTTGCTGTCTTCCACAACATATGCCTACAGAATATAAAACAAAGACATTTGCAGACCAGAAACTATCATAAGATTCATAACACAGAATTACTGACTTCTCCCTAATTTAGGTGGAACATGCTGTATTGATCAAAACTTAGAGGATAGTATGGCATACTTATGCCAATTTCCACTGCTTCAAATGAGACTCTTTTCTTCAAAGCAGACTGGGTCACTCTTACAGTTCTGTAAAATCAAGCATTAACAAATCTCTTAGTTTAAGATTTCATAATTTTCTCTTTTAAAAGAGAAATTAGAAGAACTGGGTGCATCCAGAGTAATGTCAAACAATTTAGGGACAATTATTACAGTAACAGATACTAAGACTATCTTTGATGCTTACATCATCATAGTTTGTTTGATTGTTTTCAGGAAAAAAATTCACCCATAAATTTCATATGTATATGCCTGAAAGTTCAGGATGCCACATTACATTCTTTTTTAGTTATAACGTTTTAGATCCAAATTACCACAAAGGCCCCAACCATACATACCTTCCACAGTACCACAATGTTCAAATCAACTTCACTGCATCTTTGTATCAATCTGACTGTTTCATCAAACGATTGTTTCACTGCCCTTTGAGACGTGTGAGTATGAGACTGCACATGTGTTCTTTTAAATTCAGAGGATAAGCTTTGGAAAAAAAAGTCTGCACAAGGACTGGCTGAACTTATTATCTACGAGAGAAAAAAAGGAAGAAAGTGTTCAGAACAGGATGTGAGCTGACTCAAGTTGCTCTAACAGCTCATTGCTGTAGCATTTTTTCCCAGTGGGCTTCCCTTTGCAAAGCTACAGGATGCCAAACACCTTGCTTTCCATGCTTGACCTGTTAGAGATCAGCCTATCTAAAGGGCTGCTAAAGGTAATATAGGGAAAACAGAGCTATAACTTGCTAGTTTAGAACTACAAATACCAAACTTGGAAACAGGAGCTTTGATTATTACCACAAAGCAGGCTACTGTCATATATCAAGTCTATTAAAGAGAGCTGAAGCATCCAACTAAGTCACACAAAAGTCATTTTTGCTTACTAATATTTTCCTCAGCTTAGCTAGCATTATTTATCTAAGTTAGGAACATACACTTTTCTAGCAATAGCAAAAATAACTGACTGCACAGCACATCCCATAGATACATGGAACAAACAGAAGCACTGTGTGGTCACGTGTACCAAGCTATTCCAACAACAAAAGCCTGGTAAAGAAACTGGTTTTTAAAAGCAACAGCAATGATACTGTGTCCTGTTGGAGACAACAGGATAAGCAAGCAACTTTAGCTTCACAACCCCTCCCTTTCAAAAACGCTAGCTTTTCCAGAATATGCTGTTGCAAAGTTGCTAATTACAGCAATAGCAGAATGCTGATACCCAGGGAGAAAATCCACTTTTGAAGCCACTGCTCAGAAGGGAAGATGCCCTCCCCATCTCCCCACTGTAATAAAATGTTCTCAGGGAAAGCTAAAGTTCCTCAGTAAAGTTAAAGTAACTCAGATTCCAATTCTAAAAATGCACATCTACCTCAGATTTTTAGTCCTAACTAAAAATTCAATTTATATGCCTATGAAATGAAATAGCAGTGAATAGGTTTTCTTTGGCTTTAAAAGCTGAATAAATACAGGACAAATGTATGCTCAGCATAAAATAAGCAATCTGTCCTTCAATTGACTAAATTCACTATGAAGATTTCTCATCTAATGCAAGTGGCCTACTTTGCTCAGATTTTGGAAAAGCATTTGTAGTACCAAGATCATTTACTGAAAGGATTACTCAATATCTGTATGATTAAAAAAGATTAGAAGAGCATGGTAGTCTAGGATTTTAAACTAGTAGAAAAATCAGACTCCTTGAATCCACTGCAACCTCCTGTGGCTTTGAAATTCTGGGACCAGCATCCATTAGTTTTCCAGTTTTTCAAATAAGCTGTAATTAGAATTTTTAACCTGTCTTAGTAAAAGTATAATTAAGAACAAGAATCTGATATCTTTAGGACTACTAGAAAACTAAAGGGCTAGGATATATTTAAAATAACTACTCCAAAGTTATTTTGGAGTTCAGCTGTGGAACTGGGATTCTAATATTCCTGATTCACACTAGCCTAAGTTACCTTACCACCTCTTTGACCTTACACAAGACAAAATATGCAGTTGTACCCATCCACCCACCTGTTCATTTCCAAAGACAATATCCGCAAATGTGTAATTTTCTAAGGAATAAAGAGAGAAAGCACTGTTTTAGCATCATGAGAAGTCACAAGTTCAGCATACAGTACCCGAAAGAGTACTTTTTTTCAAAAAGTTACCACATCGAGGAAAAAACCTACCTTCTGAGTTTTTGCATCTCACTGCTTTAAAACACAACTTTGCTCTCTCTCTGCTAGCCAGTTTAGTATCTGAAAGAAAAAGGTGGCAAGATGTTTTTTTCATCCTCAGTATAATCAGAGTCCCTTCAACAAAAGTTACAAGTCTCGAACATTCACAAACAGGAAACACACTGATGACATTGAACAAGCACAGCTAATCAGGCATAGCAATGGCACACAACACTACAACTATATTTCTTGGGAGGAAGTTATCAGCCACACCACACATGGATTTCTCTACATCACAGAAATAATTTACCTGCAAATTAAGCTTGTTTTTAAAATTCATTACATCTGAATGAGTTATTTGTAAATATACATTTCTTGAAATATATGAATAAGGGCTTTAGTATTTTTGGAATGGATAAAGTTATTGGAAACTAATTATTCTGAAAGCCAAATTCAGCTCCTTGTCAGATTCTTTAAACTGTTTTTATCAGTCAGAAGCTAGACTTGCCATCATTTTGGTGATAAAGATACACACCTTTGTCTCCAGAGATGTTAACAGATTTTTGAAGTTTCCAGTGCTTGCTATTGCTTGAAACTTGCGCTATATGAAATTCCTTAACACCCGTCTCACTCTACGGAACAGATAAAAGTTATGTCAAAGAAAACCAATCACAATTGTGATGTGCTACATTGCACAGTGTGTTCACTGCAAGGTGGCACTGTAAGAATCTAAATGTAACTCATTATTCACACCACTCGTAACACACAGTACTTAGAGACAAGGAGAGATTTAAGACCCACTGTAAAGTAATGCAACAGTCCCAGATCACAGCAACTTCCAATTCCAGTAAACAAAGCCACACAAAGAGCAAACAAGGATCTCACAGAAAAAGACCTATAAGCTAGTATTTCAGATTAAGAATAATTTAAACAAAAACTAGGCTTTTTAACTCCAATGCAAAACACTGTCCACAAGGCTACTTGGTTTCTAGGATTATTTAAAGTATTTAAAGTAGCATTGCTTTATCATAAATCCTAGAAACTCAGTATCTATTTTGGGTTTACATATATACACAATAAAATGTAGCTTTTGGAGTTGGCTTCTTTTCTTGTAAAGAGTGAGGTGGTAGTGGAAAAATAAGCCTCATATTGTTATACTTGGAAATCCTTTATAAAAACATTGCTCCCTCCTTTAGGAGTGGACAATATTCAGTAAGTGAAGAAAAAAACCAGAGCGTACACACCTTTAAAAGAAAACAACAAATCAACTCAGTGGTTCCACTACCAACTAAGTGTCTATGAATTCTACAAACATTCAATTCAGTTACCTTGCTTTGTGATTGAAAAAATGGGAGCAGCTTTACCAAAAAATGAGTAAATTTAAATTAGCATGGTTTGAAAAACTGAGTATTTTCATCTGCTTTAGTAAGTCAACAGAAATATCTGTATTTGGATTATATTAGTAAAAATGTCTTTATAGTTTGGTGATAAATGTAAACAGAGAAACTTACTTCACATTGGAGCTCAAATTCTGACTTTGATATTACCATTTATTCTACCAGTGTTTTCACTGAAAAGGGACACAGTTCTGAATTAGACAACCTTGGAAGCTGAGATTAAGAACACTCATCAATTTGGAATAAATCTTCCTTAAAAGACTATGAACTATAGTCTTGCAATATGATTAGTATAGGAGACTTCCAGAGAGTTAGGATATAACTTCACATTAATACTCTTTCCAACAGTAACTGAATGATCAAATACGCAAGGGTTTTTTTTTTTTGTTTGTTTGTTTATTTGCAAAGTCACTGTAGAAAAACTTGAGTTTTGGTTCATATCTGCTGAGCTTCAAGACAGTACCATTATTATTAATATAAAAAAGAACTTACAGTATTGATATTTTCTACATCCACAAAGAGCAACATGTTGTCCCCTCTGCCTTCTTCATCCCCAAGTGCATTACTTCTGCAGACAGTAGCCCGAACGTGCAGAGACCGACTGGTACAAATAACTGCAGTGTGCCTTAATACTCTGTGACTAGAAAACAAAGGAGACAAAAGAAAAGGGAAAAAAAAAAAAAAAGACATTTTGAACAACCAGAGCTGACCAGAACTTGACATCAAGAAATTTAGCATTTATGTTTATTAATATTAATGCCATTAGACAATTTGTTCATTCCAACCACCAACTATACACTTTTCACTGAAGATAACCCTGTCAAACCTACTTTATTTTTAACCATCTTTCTGCATGGGTAGGTGCTCTTTAAACACGCAGTCTCAGCCAGTGTGAAGCACTGGAGAAAAAGGTTCAGGTGTTACCATGAGGAAAAACACTTCAGAAATGTTTCAGATGTAAGACAACTGGCAGAGTGAAAGTGAACAGACAAGTACTGGCACACAGGTATCATTAATCTATATAATGTCACCAAATACTCTGGAAGACAGTTTCCGAGTAAGTAAGTCAGAGAAAGGCCACTACTTAGTCACATCTCTTGCCATAAATATTTACTAAAAAGCAGTTAAAATACCACTGCATTCAATACATTTCCCTGAAAAGAGAAGTTAAAAAGAGAATCAAACCACAGCTACCCTGCCTATTTCTAGGCATGCTCAACCTCCAGGACAGCAGTCTCTTTGTGAAAGTTATACTTCTTTTCTAAGGATGAATTAATCTTTACAATTCCATTTGTAGACACCATCAAAACATATGAGCTTTTCCTATGTAGAAGCTTTTAGTTACCATAACTTCCACTTGGAAACATTTTAAAGGCATGTAAAAGTTTTATACACATTACCTACTAAATATGTTGAAATATCATGTGGCTTCACTATATCATAACTACAGAAGAAACTTTTAAGTTTTGCAGTTAATATTCAGATATGCAGATATCTGTATAGCTTTCAAGTGGCACAAATTACATGAACACTTAAAAGCTATCCTCAGTCTACAAAGAGCACTGTTAAACCAGAGCAGTTCCCTTAAGTTCCCCTCAAAACCTTAGTACAGTAAGGAACAAGTACATTACTCTTCCATCTCTAATGTACCTCTGTTTCTGAATACTATGAGTTGTAAGGGGACAAATTCCTTATTCCTACATACTAGCTTAGAGTCAAATGAAATGCTAGCTTTGATATTTCAGAAGCTACAAAAAAATCTAAACCAAGGGTGCATTTGCATGACTTCAGTTTTGAGAATATGCTACTGACCCACTCTCTCAACTATTTTCAACTTACTCTGCTTTGGTTTACACCACAACCAGTCTCACAGAACATGAACTTTGTTTCTCTCTCAGAACTAGCCTAGAAAACAAGCTTCAGCCAGAAGCAGACATTCAGTCCACCTTACTAGAGCTTGTCTGAAGCAACCATGGTACAGACATCAAGTGTACAGGTTTAGGCTAGGATAGTCAATTTTTTTCACAGTAGCTGGTAAGTTGCCATGTTTTGGATTTGTGCCAGAAATAATGTGGACACAGGAATGTTTTTGTTATTGCTGAGAAGGGCTTGCACAGGATCAAGGCCTTTTCTGCTCCTCACCCCACCAGCAAGCAGGCTGGAGTTGCACAAAAGGGTGGGAGGGGACATACTGGGACAGCTGACCCCCAACTGACCAACAGGATATTCCAGACCATATGGTGTTATGCTCAGCAATTAAAATAGGGAGAAGGAGAAAGCAGGGCCTGGTGACATGTCTTCCCAAGTAATCATTAAACATGATGGAGCCCCCCTTTTCTGAAAACCTGCCTGCCCACAGGAAGTGGTGAATGAATTTCTTGGGGCTGTTTTAGCTTGTTGTGTCAAACTTGACTGTGGACTCCCTCAAGATGGTCCAAAAAGGAACTATACAAGAGCATGCAAGTCAAACTTCGTATTTAACCCCTCCAAAAAGAATATCAGTCATCACAATACAATTACTAACCAAATTTTAACAATAAAATATTTCATTCAAGGTAGACAAGATTTTGTTTTATAAAATGTAGAAACAAATTAGGTTATGATTTTTTAACCTATACTTCAGAACATTAGTTCCAGAGGAACTAAATACAAAGAAAGGTTGTTTTAATTATTAATTAAAACTCCTTCTATTAATTATTTTAATAATTTAGTATTTACTACTTCAATAAAAGCAGCATAGGCTATACAATTTTCTATGGAAATTAGATCACATAATAGAAAAAATAATGCTTAGAATAGCAGATAACATTTAAATTGCAGGCCATTTTCACAACATCACGGTGAATAAGAGAAATTCAGTACTATTTACTTTTACCATTACAATCACAGAATCACAGAATCTAATGTGTTTAATAAGTATGACAGAAAAGGTAGATTAGAAGAACTTACCACATTTTTGAGTGCTTTTTAATACCTTCATAGTAAAACAAGAAGTTAATTTCATGAACACCTTCTTCATCTGGTCCCCGTAACCACATCGGCAGCTGCACTGAAGCCCCAGGAAGAAGAACAGCATCAGGAAGCGGAACCTGTATTACTTCAGGTGAACCTCCTGTGCCAACCCCAAAGTCTGCAGAAGAAGCTGAAGACAGCAGTGCTGTTCGCACAGAGGTAGGATCTGTCACAACAGTCTTGTAAGCACTACAGTTCTCAGATGCTGAAGGACTTAGTGGTGTTAAAACAGCAGTATTTCCACCAAAAGTGAAAAATTCTGGATGCTTGGACACAACCTTTAGTGCAGTAAGAGGGCACTTGCTCACGTTCACAAATTCTACATACGCTTTTCTGATTTCTCCACAGAGAAGCCCTGTAGGAAAATTTATAAAGAACACCTGTACGAGAGAGAAAAGGAGAAAATAAAAATCTGAACACTGAACCAACTAGCAAAACAACCATTAACCCAAACTATACTGCTGCCTAGAGCTTCTTATGGGGAAGTGAAGAGGGAGGTGGAGATCTCTTCATCCTGAAATCCAGTGATCAGACATGTGGAAATGGCTCAAAGCTACACCAGGGGATGTTTAGACTGGACAATAAGATACATTCTTGTATGGAGAGGGTGGTCAAACAGTGGAATGGCTTTCTAGAGAGGTGGTCAATGCCCCAAGACTGACACTGTTCAAGAGGCATTTAGACAAAGCCATTAACATACTTGGTCAGGAAGCTGGACTGGATGATCACTGCAGTCCCTTCTAGCTGATCCATCCCACTCTATAGGCCCCTGTCATTAACCAACTACCCAGACCATTTTAATAACCCTAGAAAGGAAAAGCACTGTATTTTAATTAACCAGCTGGAATAACTTTTTTAGATGAATGGCAAGCAAACAGAAAAAAAGTTTCTTTGCCTGTTCCCCCTTTACCTTAAAATCTGGCTACCAAAGCTGCCAACTAAAGTTCTAAAGGGAACATAGCAATTTCAGAAGGATACTAATTTTGAGGTTTCAAGTTTTAATTGAAAAAAACCCACACAAGTTTGTCACTGACAGATCAGAAATTACCTGGAAAGATTTAGGCATTGTTAGAATTACATTTATAAAGTGCATTCAGCTATTTTCTCAAAACTGGCAACAGGAAGTAGCTACATACCTCTAACAAAGGCATTTCTTCTGTAATAATGGGATCTAAACGTCGATCAGGTCCATATTTAATCGATGTTTTTTCCTCTTTTGTGTTATTAAGTCGAGGCCCTTGGATTTCTAAATCTTGTCTTCCTCGTACAGATAACCCATTGGAAACAAATTTTCCTGAAAAAATTTTTAGAACTTTTGTTTAGTTAGGTTTTTCTAAGTAATTCCTGACTTTATCTCTAAGAAATGATCCAAAGCTCCTAATCCAATCTCAAAAGTTAATTTTTGTTATTGGGCCCATGTGGTGTTCATTGATTAAGCAGCATCACCAACAAAGAACTATTCAAAGCTTACAGTCACAGTACACATGGCTACTTCAAGTTCCAACAGCCAGTTATCCATTGCTGTGAACTTACTCTGCCCTTCAATAGTTTGACTACAACTGGAAGGGAAAAGGCAGACATAGTGCATGAAGTTGATGGCATTTACTTCCTTTCCCAATTTCTGCCAAGCTGGAAAAGTCACTTAGAGGATTATTTCCTTTAAAGACAGCCACCACTCTCCAAATGGTTTTTATTCAAAAGGTTTCCAGCCTCCAAACAAGCTTTTATTTCTTCCAGACACTTTCACAAGTTTTCATTTAACAACTAAATTCTCCATGTGAGAGACAGCTTCAGATGAATGATTCAACAGAACAGATCAGGCAGCATGCAATTAATTGTCAATTCATATATTAATGTAAAAGAAAGAGAATTCAAGATGCTAAAAAAAAAAACCTATCAGCCAAATTTAAATTTAGGAATTTATAAAAAGGTCTTTAGTACAACATTTAGACAAAAGTTGAACATTAACAATGCAAAAACACGTGGAAGAAAAATTAACAGCAAGAGTGTCCCTGGAAGTTGTTAGAGATTCAACATGATGTAGATGGAATGTTTACATTTTGATTTTTTTTACTGGTTTCAAAAATTCATCAGATTTAAAAGGAGCAATAAAGTATGGATCTGGCATCCTTCCTTGTGGGATTTCTACAAGAGCCAATTTGTTCTTTTCCCATTTAGTTGTTTCTCTTACTTCTTATTTCTATATCCTGACCTGATGGATACCATGATACCTTGCATCATGGCAGTCAAACACTAGACACTAGAATTTAGTTCTACTCTGCAGAAGCCATGTCTCCTCCCTTCCAGAAACACACAATTTAAGGTAATAATACACTTACCTGTCTGTAATCCAATAGAAGGATCTATTCCATCTAATGACACAGCACCTTGAACACTGCCAAGATTATAAACGACTCCCAGAATATGTAGCTCCCCTGTTTGATGGGGAAAGAGCTTTAGTCTTGCCTGTGGAGATACGTTAAATTTTTGTTGTTGTTGCTACTAGAAAGAAGTATTATTACAGTTAAATGTCCAATTGCTAAACACACTCACGGCTACATTTACTTTATAGCTGCGTCAGCTATAACTGCAACAATAAATTATCTATAATTTACTAGATTGAAAATTTCATATACACAGAATTTACCAAACCAGTTCACAGCTGAGAAATGCTCATTACTTTAGAAAAAATTCCTTAAAGTTAACTTTTACGTGATTAACAGAATCACAGAATGATTGAAGATGGAATGGACTTCTGGAGGTCATCATGCCCAAATTGCCTCCTCAAGCAGGGCCATCTAGAGCCAGCTGCCAAGACACCATCCAAAGGGCTGTGAACATCTCCAAAGATGGATACTCCACAATCTCTCTAGGCAGCTCAAGCACCATCACATTTACAAAATAATTAAGTGTTATAAATGTTTCCTGATGTTCAGGAGTAGCCTCTTGTGCCCACTGTCTCTGGTGCTGTCACATTTATACAAAGTGGTAAGATATATGAGGTACTGGAATTTCTGATTCAGTCATGTGTTCTGTCAGTTTATGTGGTTGTGCTGCCATAAGTTTAGTGTTAAGTTCAGATCACAACAAGCCTGCAATGCACACTAAGCTCAACCTTGAAAAAAACTTTAAAACAAAGTATAGTACTTACCACTTTTGTCTCCTCGCTATTAATTAAAAATTCTGCTATTGCTTCAGTTCCTACCATATCTTCATCACACGTACCCTGAAAAGAAGAAACAGTTCTTTAGATATCATTACTCCTAGGCAGAGAATGTGCCATAAATAATATTTCCAATACCGTTCTTAAACTGCTCAAGAGAAAAAATCATACAAATTTCCACACAGCTCAGAAAAGCAGTGCTGCATGCTCAGCTTCTCAGCATTTACAAATTAAAAAAGCAGCTTGAGAGCTCAGTAAACATTTAAGAGAAATTTAAGATTTAGCGCTATAAACTGGAACTATTCCCAGTCTGTTTCACAGATATTCACGGAAGTATTTATCACACCATTAAAGTAGCAGTTCAGATCAGAACAGAAGAGAAAGTGTATGGTAAGCCTTGAGTCTTAAACTATGTGGAATCATGTTTATAACTCTGGTAAATACTTAAGAGATCACCTTTAGAGATCACCATTTTCAATGTTTTGGCCATAAAAACAAATTATTTAGGAACTTACTGTACTATTCAGTATTAGAACCTATTAAAACCTCTAAAATCTGGATGTGATAAAGTCCATCAGAGCATTTGGCAGCATTAGTTGAAGTAATAAGTCAAACAGTAGCACAACAGCTCATCTAAAGTATTCAAAACACTAATTTTTAATACAATAAATGTTCATTTCTCTTTTAATCAAGCTACTATGATGTTTCTGTTATACAAGCACCGTTCTTCAGAACACACATTTCACTATGTACAGTGGCTCAAATAAGAAAAGGGTATATTTGATAATCTACCTACTGACACTCATATTTGCAGGTCAAGGCTAGTGTGACTCAAAATAGACGTAGTACACATACAATGAAATCTTGGAAGTATTTTGTTTTGCATTCAGCTTTAGAACACACATTAGAATTTGTGGCTAACTTGGCTGCTTTGTACCCTACAGATATAGGAAAATCTAGATAATATAAAAATTATTTCAGTAACTACTATTTTTCTTACTTTTTTTTTAGTTTACACTTAAACCTTCATGTTTAATGTTTATGTTTAAATGTTTTCATACTACAGAATTTTGAATACTCAATATATACTCCACACCTGCAGTTGTCTGGGTTGGAAAAGGATGAAGCTTTTCTTACCTGCTCTTTTGTTTCTCCATCACACTTTACACTGAAGTCTTTAGGTTGAAACTTCCACAGCAATGAAAGGTCAGTCAAAAGAAGCGGAACTTTCAGAGGGTTTCGGAAGGACACTTCTACAGTTATTGGTTCTATCAAAAACGTACAAGAAAATAATGACAACAGGCTTTCCCCATCCCAGTCTGAAAGCTATCTCAAAGTATTCATATACAAAAAATTTGCACAAAAATGTTGGTTCAAATCTCTAATAAGACAGGAAATATTAATACAAATTTATATAACTCAGTTTATTTCTGTAGTGCAAAAATCTTAACTTTACCTTCTATCACAGCAAGTGGAAATTTGGAGTTATCCGAGTAGCGATTTAAACAGAACTGTGTTGGCTGAAAATTTGAAGGTATGGTTCCTTTATTTATCACAGACACAACTTGTTCCTCGAGCTCCTTCCACTGCTGTGATGATTCTGAGTCATACTCCTGATCCAGGCTTACATGCGTAGCTGCCTGCTTTTCACCTGGGAAGAAAAAGGCCATCTTAAAGGCAAGAACAGCGATGTGAAACAGCTGCATCAGAGAGTTGCACTGGCAGTTTGGCAAATAACTATTCTTAAAATATTTTCAATTCTAGGTCACTGTAATACTTATGCTACAACTGATTTTAAAAAGTGAATTGCAGGACATTTTGAAATACACACATGGAAGACAACACTGAGAATAATTTGAACATAGTTCAATTTGGATACTGCAACATTCCAAGATTTTAGCATGCTACCTAATATACTCAGTCTACAGATCACTTTTACTTTATAACGGACTACAACCCCACAGTACAGCCTTGGATTATATAAGAATTACCACTCAGCTTTCTTTACCCTCAGAAATCATTATTTCAAATATTTAATCCTAGAGGAAGTTAACGGTAAAGCTAATTTGTAGCATCACCACTAGCGTCCAGTATTTGCTACAACAAATAATAATCCCTTTCATGAAGTTCCTTACAGAGTTGCATTGAAGCTTTCCAGGTGTGAAAAACAGTGACAGTCCACGCAACCACATACACAGATTTCATATCTACACAGAAAGTCTGAAAACATCCAGCCAGTAGATATTAGGCTCCAGCTCTTCTTTTGAAATATTTTTAAGTTATCCAGTCACTTTAGTTTTACATAATGACAGACTTCTTTTATATGGCACCAATTCCTGCATGTATTTTGGTTCCTAAAAAAATGTACTTGAAACTGTTTACTTAAAATTTTCTAACCTTCTGCTGGTCGCCGATCATGGCCAAAGAAAACACGAGTTGCTGAGCTGTTAATATATGGTAAAGGAAGCTGTGGCAAGGGACCATCAGGTGACGCCTGGGTTGCATTCTGGAGTAAAGGAACAAGAAAACAGTGTCATGTATGTTATCAGTGGTTGAATTATAAGCCAAGTTAAAAACACTCAATGTTTGAACAGGGAATACTTTTAAAATGGAATAAATAACTTCAATTAACTGTTTGACAGATTTTTTTTTTTTCTTTAATAGGAGTTTGAAGTTTGTGAAATCCTTATGGGAAAAGGAGAATTATTTTAATCCTGAAATCTAATCACTACCGTGGTTGCATTGCTATTACAAGCTTTATTTAACGCAAATCTCTACTGTCTAACTCAGAATTTGATAAATTACATTTACTATCCCACCGCCATTAAACAAGACTCTCACCAAGCTGAGCTGTGGATTCAAACACCAGCCTTTGAGTAAGGTCTGCCATAACTTAAACACCACAGAAATTCTGTTCATAAGCTTTAAAAGACAGTATCTACATGGCTGCATATTGTGTGGCAATATCAGCACTAAACACCCCCAGAATCACCTATGAACTTAAACACAACTCAATGAGTCACTTGATTCATCAAATTCTATCCTTATTAAAGAATGAAATTCACTATATGAATGATGACACAGCTACCCAGTCTTTATTAAACATGTATTGCCAAAACTCTCAAAATCATAAATTGATCAAAACAGAACAGATCCATTTCCTCTAAAAAAAATTAAACTTATCACAACTACAATTCAGCTATGACCCTCAAAAAGAAGACTTTATTGTAATAAAAACACATACATTACTGTGATGATAACCCATACTTATACCCATCTGTGAAAGTACTACACATGTAATGCAGCATGTGCGGGTTTTTTGAAGCCTGAAGTAAAAAATTGAACACCTCAACTAGATTAAAAAAAAAAAACAAAAACCCTGGACCAATGCAGATAAAAAAGAAAATCATTTAATGATTTAATAGAAAATTGGTGGTAATAAAATTACTTATTACTCAAGAAACATAGACAAGGAAGTAATTTACCTTATAGACATAAAGATATTCTCTTAAAAAAGCTCCTTGCTGAGCTGGAGGCTGTTTACTGTCATTGATCAAAATATGCCTGAAGGCAGACACAGCATTGTCCAGCTGACGAAGTGTAAAGGACTGACGACCGATGGTGAAATTAATGTGGTCTTCTGCAAGAGACCAGCCCTTCCCTTTGTAAACCTGCATGGCTTGACAGTAGCAACGTAAGGCATGTTTCTTCTGCAAGAAAAAAAAGCAATTTGTCAAATTATCCTGTAATCCGCTGACTGCAATTATAACATTACAAAGACTGAACAGTAAGTCAGAAAAGTACTTTTTACCACATCCCTGCCACTACATAAACTAAAAACTGTAATATCTCAGAACTGTGCCTCATAGAATCTGGTCAATACTAATCTAAGCACAGAAGTGCTTGTTCCTACAGAACAGAGCCTAGCCTCCAGATTAAGTTCATATTTTCAAAGACTATAGTACCAGGCAGTAAGTTAGAAAAGCAAATAAGAAAAGATTACTTTTAAAACAGTATTTGAAGTTCCTTTACAACTGACTGCTTAAGTCTACAGAGCTCTACTGCCAAGCCTCAGGACATAATCTAGATTTAATAAATTTAATTCCACCCAAACTGAACTTTCAGTCAACTGTTGTTCAGTATACGTATCTGGGACAAAAATCCATGCCAAGAAAACCAACAAAAAACAGCCCTACATACAAGAAAAATTACCAATCATATTAGCCACTGAGAGATAGATGGCCTGATCCCAGTCAGCTACCTAGTTCCTTTCCTGTACATATATCAGGATCCAGGCATTCAATCCCAAGTCTAGGTATTGAACAGCTGTATAGACATTCACTGTACAGTTAAGTTTCAGCTTTTAAAAAATGGCAACAGCATTCCCTTACTTACAGCACTAATGGGCAAATACGTTCACATTGGTATGGTGATGACAGCAGAGTACAGGCAGTAAATCCTTAACATCAGCATGTACTAGTGACAATTTAAAATATGGTATTATGGTCTGCCTGGCTGATTTCCCTTCAGCTGCATTTTATATTTTTGCACCTCAAAGGAAAACTAAATAACATAGCTACATTTCCTGTAACACTGAAAAAGTACTTCTTGGAAAGCAGAATCCCTACAAATATTAGACACAAACAGCAAAGACAGCTGTTACACAAAGTCAAAACTTTACAAAATCCATTACACTTTCCAGAACAAAGGAACAGGATATAAAAGAATGAATACATGAAAAACTGATCAATAGCTTCCTGTCAGTACTGTTCTGTCATAACAACAGACAGGAAAACCACAGCATGAAGAAAACCAAGGTGGAGGTGAAGTACTCTCCTACTATTCCTCACATCACAGAAGCCAACAATGCAAAAATACTTTTTTTAGTCTTTACCAGGACAGTGAGACTGAACAGGGTCAGGGCTAGGGTTGGGTAGGGTGGGAGAAAATCCCCAGCCAAGACCACAGGGCTTTTGTTCCAAATAGAATTTGATACCTTGGTTCTCCTGTATTATTGTCTTGCAATACCAACCTCAGCAGGAATCAAGCACAAGCTGTCTTTACAGAATATAGCCCACAACGAATGCAGAAACAAAGCACAAAAATTCTATCCAAAAAAGTTCATCTATCACCATTAGAGCTGCCTGCAAAGGAATGTGAATGGGAGTAAAAACAATCTCATCTGTACTGCTTTAACTGCCACTTAAGTCTAACAGCCAAAGAGATGTTTTGGTTTGTCGTGTAATAACTGTTCATGCACCTGCACCTCCAATAAAGAACATGTATTTAAGTCACCAGGAAAAACAAATATCTAAATTTTGCTATTATTCCAATAAGCTGAGTTTAACAAATAATTATCTCCTGCAATTCACTCTTACCTCAAGAGTAAAAATATTCCTTTGCCCAAAAAAGCAAAATTACTGTGTATAAAATGAGACCCAGACATGAAAACACACATCACTTAAGTTTCAAGTCGGTGATCTTCAGCATTACTTCAAAAACAGAAGTAAAAGGCTAGGGCGATCAATCCAGAAATCATTTTCAGAAGATTACAGAACAGAATACTGCAGACTAACACAGAAGTGTCAGAAGCCAAGCATCTTTTTCCAGACTAATGACATACTTAACATATTTTTCAAAGCATCTAATACCAGGCATACTTTCCATGTGCAAAGATAATACTCACCTGCCCTGCTTTACTAAATCTGTGGCCAGCCAATATCATATGAAATGCAAACTTTCTAACCATGGGACTTTTCATGTTTATAAAACAATGGGCTGCCTGCTCCAATAGGAGTGCACTGCGAAGATCTGAATCCTGTTTAAAATGAAAAAAGAATAATTAGCCAGAGTTGAATAAAACCATAAAGGTAACAGCGGTCTTGTTTTAATGCTAAGAGGGACAGTAAGTTGTAAGAGTTCTGTGAAGTTGAAGATCCTTTATATGCAAATATTATATACATATGTGAGCACATAAAAATAAGACTAAAAGTATTTTTCAATAGCATTCAATAGGATCATAGTCTTACTTCTAGTGAAGCATATATGAACCTGTTTCAGTATGAGTAACAAAAGAAGTATTTTCTGCTTTTTCAATTACTCAGACTACAGTTTAAAACACCATTATCTCTGAAGCACTCTCCCACCTTTTCCCCTCCCTCCCCCTGCAGATATTAAGGCTAGAACTAAAAAACAAGACCACTACCAGGATGACTGAAAAATACAGGGAGCAATGAAACTTGGTAAATTTTTATCACTTGAACCTTTCGAACATATTGATTTCTTTATGTACAATTCCTTACTATTATATCTCTCTCGTCTTCTGCCAAGATACAGCTATATTACTTTAACCAATCAGAACAGAATCTACTTGATTTTACCACAGCTGAACTCCATGCTATCAGTGGTGCTCAAGTATTTATCTTGACTACAAATATACTCTGAGACACCAATATAGTATCCTGTGAAGATTTTCCTTGCAACTACCAAAATGCTCTACAGGCATAGTAGGTGCAATTTTAAGCTGTCAAATGACCGTGCAGAACTAATAGTATTTAAATTCCTTGCTTTTAATATCTTAGGCTGCTCTTGTAAACATTGGTAGCAAGCTTAAGTTGAAAGGGAAAGAATGAAGCTACAGAGACACTTGAGAAAGAAAATTACAGAACTAAACAGATTTATTCCGTGCTTAAGCGGTCCAAGGAAGGTCTCAGAAGCATCACAGTTGGTGCAGCTGCCCATGAAGCCAGAACTACCAGGTAGACTTCCCTCCAAGCTTTAAAGGAGATGCTACACTATTACTGGAATTACATGTTTCTTCATTCCTTTTCAAGCAATATAATTCCTGGGTTAGAAGCTGATTCCATGCTTCATTTCCACCAATTAATATCACAGAAGTGTATGGTTTCACTTACAGAGTAAGGTTCTAATGATTCATACCAGCTGAGCTACAGTAATGCCTTAGTTGCTTAAACTATAGAGAACTTCTGATTAATAATATATGTATTATATATGGGATAGCATCCATTATGGCTCTGGCAAGCCATGCTAATACTTTTAACACATGAGTTTGTAAGCTACACCATCCAAGAGCTAAGTAGATGTCAAAGAAAATTAGTTACAAAGCCAAAGATAACATATTTAGTATGGTTAAGGAAGTCAAGCAAGTCATTTGACTAGAAAAAGAATAACTGTACTAGTTCCTTCACTTACAGTGTGTACACAGTTTTCTTCACTTCATGCTCTATACCTGTTCATTTGCTACCTTTGGCTAGAAAATATTGTAGGACAAGAATCAGAAGGTAACCTAGAAGTGTTTGGGTAAGAAAACAAATAGTGAGAGGGCAGAAACAGAAAAAGCTACTAATTTTTACCTCACTGGTCAAACGAATCAGAAGAGCAGCTGCCTCTGAATATTTGCTTTGACTTTTTAAGATTTCAGCACTAAGCAGTACACAGCGTTCAGCCAGAACCATGTTCCTAAAGTAAAAACATGCATGTATTAATAAATATTTATCAAAGTAAACCTCAGAGAACTCAAATCTTACTAATTTTCTACACACAGCATCAGACTGAGGTTCTGTTGCTTATTCTTCTTAAAGTAAAGTCTCTGAAAGTTCACTCCCCACAAAACAACCACATACAGATTGACACATTAAGTGTCCAATCCAACTATAACAGGAGCTTTATGAAAGTCAAAGCTGGAGAGCATTTCTTAGAACAGTATTGTATTTGTAAGAGTACCAAATAAAATGATCTGATAAACAAGTCCAACAGATAGAATCAAGTTGTACTGGCAAGTTGTACCTGTGTACCACCAAGCTGCTCTGTCATTACCCCTGCTCAGCAACACAGGGGAAGATCAGATTGAAAACCTCATGTGCCGAGAAAGGGACACAGAGATTACTCACCATTTAGTCATGGGCAAAACAGACTTGTTTTGGGGAAGACTAAATTAATTTATCGAAAATTAATAACTGAATAGCACAGTGATAAGTAAAAGCAGAAATAAAACACCTTCTCCTAACAAATCCTACTTCCCAAGCTCAAGTTCACCCCAAATTCTTCTACCTCCTCCTCCCCACAAGCAGGGCAAGGGAATACAGAAAAAGGGCTGTGGTCACTTCATAACATTTCTCCTCTGCTGTTTCTTCCTGCACATCCTCCTTCCCTGTTCCAGTGTGGGGTCCCTCCCACAGATGCAGTTCTTCAAGAATTGCTCCAGCATGTATCCTTTTTTGCAGTATACAGTCCTTCAGGAACTGTTTCAGTGTAGTTTCCCCACAGGTCACAGCTCCTGACAGCAACCTGCTGTGGCATAGACTCTGTACAGACTACAGCCACCTTCACGGTACATCCACCTGAATGCTCTGGCATTGGAACAGGTTAGAGGGTAGATCCCTGCTTGCGCATGCACCTCCATGGGCTGCAAGGGAAAATCTGTTTCAGCATGGTCTTCACCACAGGCTACAGGGAAGTCCCACCTTCTCCTGACCTTGGTATCAGCAGGGCTATTTCTCTCGTTTTCTCACTCTTTTCTCACAGCTGCTGCACAGCTATTTTTACCCTTTCTTAAATGTGTTATTAGAGAGGTAACAGCAGCACTGCCAGCTTGGGCAGCAGCAGGTTCATTCTGGAGATGCATGAAAACTGATTCTGCCACAGGTAGCTCCTGATGTCTTCTCACAGAAACCTTCCTTGCAGCCACCCCACTACCTAAAAATCTACCATGTGAATTCAATACACAAGTTCAATAAGCACTCTGTTAAGAAGAGCCCAGATCTCCTTTCATGCTACCCTAGATATGTTAAACTTACTCCTTAAAATTTTACCATCATTCTGTCATGATCTGGCACTATTACTGTGCTAGGCAAGAAAGTTAAGCCACCAGATCTTTCAACTTTCACTGTATAAATATCAGTAAAAAGTAAAAACATACTTGCAGATATCTCTATAAGTCTGAATTGCTGTCTCCATATAATGAGCAGGATATGGCCTAGGAGCTCCAGGCTGAAGAAAAGCTGATACTGCTGCCATTTCCTACAAGAGAAATTCAGTGGAGTCAATTTAGGTTTTCCAACAAATCATAAACCTCAAAAAACTGAGAAATATGTTTCAATAGCTATTAGATTCAAGATCTCCATCTAATCAGTTACTGGCATATAAAAGTATCCCATACACTGTAAAAGTTAATACAACAGCCTATATATGGCTCTGCTTATAATTAGCCAGAGTTACACACAGAAGTGTTTGCAGTTGACAGTACCCCCAACACTGTGCAGAACCATAAATTCACTGCAGTTTTACAAATCCAAAAGAACTTCCTATTATCAGGAAGAATGTTCCTGCAAAGTAGCACTACCATGTATTTTAAGACAAGGTCTGTTTTTTGAGTTTTGCTTAAATTAAATTACATTATCAACTTCCAAGGAAACTCTAGTAAATATGCAGTCTGAAATTTTACTTCTTTTCTCATGGATTGAAAATATTTTAGCAAAGATTTTCTGCAGAAAGTAAACACTAAGACAAATTTGTATTTAAGACTGCTTCCATTCATTTGGAAATTAAGATTTCTCAGTATTATTCTTCTTATTCAGATTATCCAAATGCAGAGCAACTTTCTGAACTGTAAAAATAGACATTTAAGTAAAAGTTTTAATCAAGATGGAAAGATGTGCAATAATGCTTCCATGGTTCTATGAAGCAGAGTTTAGAATTATAGCAAGTTAACCAGACTAAAGTTTACAATATGTACCTTCTAAAAATTGATTAAATTACTAATTTCCCCTGGCACTCCCATTTATCTTGATGCAAATTACTTTAGTTATAGATACCTTCATTCTTGTGAGGAAATTATGAATTAGTATGTGTTTAGAGTGAAATTCAGTAGTGACATATTCAAAGTATAGCCTTCAAGTTTTAAGTCACCTGGAAACAGGTACAATACCATATTTATAATGACAGAGTCTTGAATTTCTGGCAAATAAGTATTTTGCCTAAGTCTAAAAGAGATACTATAAAGTTATTTTACATCTGGCTTTGAGTTATCAGTCTAAAGATCAATTTTTCTGGAGGTGCATTCTAGGCTTTCTCCTTTCCATATTTTATGAATTAACTCTCCAGTTTTTACCTTTATTCCTTTCATATAACAGCAGAAAACAGATTTTACAACACCTTAGAGTTTCCTAAAGATAGGCAGCAGATTTGGGGAGACCCTTACAAATGTGGAGGTAGAGGAGAGAGATTGCATTTTGTTACCTTCGGACAAATATTAGAGATTATTAGAAAAAGTTCACAGAATGCTCATGTTATGTGCAGTACCAACCAGTGCTCCAGCTGCATAAAGCATTGCCTGATCATTTAAGAAGTCCTTCTTTGCTGTATGGTAGCAGCTATATGCAAGTTCATAGTGTTGCACCAAAAAGCACAAGTCTGCCATCTTCCGGATTTGAAGCTCTGGCGCTTCTGGTGGATACCTACAAATACAAATATTTAAATCCAAAGTAATCCTCTCTCAGCCTTGCCCCAAAACAGCCAAGAAAAGTGAATCTGCTTCCTTGCCACCACACGTAACTTGGTTTCACATCCTACTCTCTGACTAGCAAGATTCACTGTTCCGTGACATTCAAAGCACACACCCCTCTTAGCCAAAAAATACTGAATGGAGTTTGTAACTACCACTGAAACTGCTCAATCAGATTAAACATTAGAGCTAAGCAGAGCCATATGAGAAGGGGAAAAAAAAAAGACTTTGACTGTTCACTTGGCTCTAAGTTATTTCTCCACATTTCTCTTGAAGGAAGGCAGTCCATTAAAAGCTATGCTTTATGCCAAAACACTCTGCAAGTTCCTGTCCTCTGCAAGCACCAATCTAATTTTTAGTTAATCCAATATATATTACTTACTTCAGTGATAATCAAATACATTTTCACAAACACTTGTATGTCAAATGCTGTAGGAAGCGAATTACGCTTACAAGTTCAAAACAGAAAGCTGGAATTAGCAACATTTTGATTACAAATCCAAAGACAAGCAACACAGACATTTGAAGCTGTACGTGCATGTCAAGGACATTAACCTTGACTAGACAATGACCAAAATTATTTAGACTTCTGTGGTAAAGGCAGTTGGAGAGTGTTCTTCATTATTACACATACCAATTCACAGAGGGAATTACGAAATTGTACAGAATTAGCATATCGGTAACACTTAAAACCTTGTTTTAGTGTATGCTAAGACATAGGTGCACTAAGTATGAAATTCCCTTAAGTTTAGTTCTTCAACACATTGTAAAAGCAATACAATATACAATACTCAATACTCTGCTGGAAAAAATTACGTAGTTACATAAGCAAAAACACCTATACATGGCTGTAATGACGGGTGAAAAGGCTTGCACAAATTTTTAAAAAATCCCTTTATGACAAACTATAGTTTCTTTTTATGACTATTACTCTTAAAATCATGTGCTCGTATTAATTTAGAAAGATTCATTGTATATAGAGCAGTCAGATGACTCTGCAAAGACTCTATTTTATCCCCATCTTCTTTAAGTTCTACTCCTCCTTTATTGTACATGTTCAGGCACAGTAATTTTCGTGATTTTTCTAACTGAAATCATTCACAACATTGCTGGTTTAGTTCACTTTGCAGAACACCATCAAACAAACACATGCTTTCCCTCCCACCCCTAAAAAGGCTACATTTGCAGTTTAGAACTAAAATTAAGGACTGAGATTACTTACAGCAAACCAGAAGTATTCTTGAGCTCATTTATACTTTTCTCTGGAACCTTGCTGCCACTAAACCATTTTTTAGTAGCAAAAAACAGTGATCGGCTCAAGCCTTTCCTGGATATTAACTGGAGGAAGACACTGAATTAGAGCACTACTTTGCAAGAGATATAAGTTAAACTAATATAAAAAGCCAAGCTTTGTTATGGCTTTGTGAATTGATTTTCTTCCATAAAACAGAAAGAAATAAAAGGAGTAAAATAACTAAGAACGCACTTTCTTAGAATTAATCTCTGACACAGACAGTTCATATATTTATATGCATATATTCATAATTCATATGTTTATCTCAGACAGTTGGGGTTCACTATTCTTTCTGTAAACTACAAAAACATCCATCTTAAGACCTTGAACATTTGATACATCTGTTTAAAAACAAAATTCTAAATAATTTAGAATATCTAATTTTGGGTAGTAGTCCAACCTAACATCTATACTATTTGTAAAATAAAGTACTTCACTGTAATGCAAAAACTTTAATGCATGACCTTGACTGAATATGGGCATGATATTAATCCCACTTCCAAAAAGTCCTAGTTCGAGAGAAGCATATTCAGCTGCAAAAAACTGCTAAAATCAACAGAATTACACAATTCAGGGTGTCCCTGCATTTCTTCCCTGTAAGTAGCAACTGAAGGATAGTTTTTTTTGCAGACGATTACTGATTAAACAAATTTCTTAAATTTAGTTGTGTATTCTGACATTGAAACACCAAGTCTATTTTGTTCCCCATGCCAGAATCAGCCAAAAGCATAGAATGTTAAGATTCAACAGATTTCTCTGGAAACAGTTCACATAGGCTTTCACCAAGAAGCCACTTTGCACTGGAGTTGTTGATACAAACCAGTTCTTGTTTTTTTTAAAAGACAAATTAAGCAATAATGAGAAAACTTCAGTTATTTCTCTTAAATCTACTAACAATTTTCAGCAAGACTGTTGAATTGTTAGATACAATTCAAGAAGGAAGTAATACTGTCAAAACAGATTTCTGGTATCTGTATTTATACCCCAACCATTTTTCCTTATTATAGCACAAAGTGTTTTAAGGGTAAACTGACCTGATCATTGAGCTGTCTAATTGTTTTTTCTATGTGTGGTAGAAGCCCCCGAAATGTGAATTCCTGTATGAACTGCCTAATTCGATCATGATCTGTGAGAGTTAAGCAAGCACCATGAGGTGTCCCAGAATTTGACTTCTTTGAGTCTTGAACTGATGTAGAAGCCTTCATGTAATCAGTGCTATCCAAACTGCCACTGGGATGATCCAGTTGAAGGGGGTGAGTCTTAAAGTTATTTGACAAGCCGTCTGTTGAAAGATTGAAATAAAAGATCCATTAAGTATAAAGCTACTTAAATATTTTGGGTTTTAGAGGTCATTTTCACTAACCAACTTCAAAGCTTTCCTTACTCAGAACTCTGGAAAGCAAAGCAATTCACCAACTGTTCTGCACTGCAGATCAGTGCTGAGCAGACAGCAGCAGAGCACTGAGTATGGCATCATTCCTGCAATTCTCAGAAAGTTCAGGCAATCTCAAGAACTACAACATGACTAAATATGTACAGTTTTGGTTCCCAACTACAGTGCAGAAAAATCTTCCAGTATGCTGACTAATATTAACAACTTTGAAGGAAAACTTAGGAAACATTAAAATCAAAATAAACTATTCATCAAAGTTGGGATTGCAGCAATTACCACAATTGCTCCATTGGGAGCTCCATTCTCTTTTTTTCTGCTTATGTTTTAAGGTTAAAAAAGAAGCCAAAAAACAAAACAAACTTAATTTTCCACGTCCTTCCAAGCAATTATGACGTATAACAATTTCCTCAAAGTCCTTTTTGTTCAATAAGAAGGGCTACTGACTACTATTGCATTTAGCTCTCTGAAATAGACTGAGACACTGCTTCACTCTAAGACTTAAGCAGTTCTCTTATTTATAAGAAAATCAGCTTGCCCTATCTGGCACCAAGCAAAGCTGAGCTGTGAAAACAAATCCTCAATGGATTTTACTCACTAAATGTAATCCTGAGTTTGTAAAGTTCCACTGGCAGCTCCCAGACTACATCTGGGCTGCAAGGGCTGACAAAGATGGCAACTATAGGGTCTCCCACCCATGCTAGGTCTCCATATGCCTTTCAGGTGAGAGACGAAGGATCTGGGCCAAGGCAGGCCAGGCAATGCAGGGTACCTCACTTTTTCCCTGTTTGGTGATACTTCTCATCTGAATCCTACATAGCTATCTTAATTGTTTTTAAAGGTGCAATAATTTGCACTCCATTTCATTTACTATCCTCTCCCATCCACAAACTGAGTTCCAAGGCAAGTGCTTCCAAACAACTTACAAACTAAATACTTCCTTGACATTGACAGATTTAATACCAAAACAAAGGACAAAAAACCCCAAAACCTTAGTTTCCAAGTTATAGCAAAGCACACAAACCAAAACTTTCATTATTATGAAAATTGACCATTTAATCCTATATTATTTTTACAAATTACCAGAGTTTGCAGACAATATGCTTAGACTTACAAAACATGAGCTAAATACATCATTAACCATCTCATTAAGGAGATATCAACAATCCACAGTAGGGTCAGTACCACAGCATTTTTCTTTGAGGACACTTAGAGCATTTAAAAAACCATTACTCTGAGTTGCCTAACAGACCATCTAATTAAATACTGTTCAAGACAAAAGACAGTTGTGTAAATGCTGTAAGATCAAGGTTTTCATAAAGTTACAAAAATACCTTTAATTTCACTGTCTATGCCATCTGATATCAAGTGATCAGTATTCTTGTTTGAAACAGTGTAATCTTCATAGGAATCCTGCCAGAAAAGAGGGGGAAAGAAGTCAGAACTTTCAGACTACTCAACCACACAGAAAAGTCATTAAACAGCAGTTGTCAACTTCAATAAGTTAACTGAATTACTATAGCAGCATGTTTGTTCATATGTATTAACTTCTCTAAGTAGTTTGAGGCTTTAAGAAACTGTTTTATTTTAAAGACAAAAGTTATATTCACCAAATGAAGCAAGTACCTTCTAACTTGCTCAGTTGGCTTCCCTGTCAACCAAAGTAACTCCAGCTCTTGCACACCAATGCCTACAGCAGCAAAAATATATTCACTAAAGCAGTTCCTGAATAAGCTCACACAAAGATTTATATTACACAATCAACACGGTACAGAAAAAGAGAAAAATATCTCATTAGTTGGTGGACTACAACTCACTGGTCCTCTTAGTTTACAGAATAGGGAATGTTTTGACTTTTCAGTAGCAGCTGATGCTGAAAATGGTTACCTAGAACAGGCAGCTACATTTGGTAAAGAAATACGATTCCAGAAACCTTTTAATCATAAGGAGTTATAATCACAAGTCAGTCAAAAGCAAACTCAAAAAAGAGTATTTTTGGTTCTAAAGCAAAAAATACAGATATTTATGGCAAACTCAAAACACACTATCCCTTGCACTCTTAGCAGATGACAGACCAGACTAGACCACAAGAAGTTATCACAAAAACCACACATACTCCCACAAAACAACACACCCAGACTATTTAACGGAGCACAGAAGACCCAGGTCAAATATTTAAGACTGAGAAAGACAAATAAAAATGAAGGTAGAAAGTCACTATGAACAGGACACTTCTGAGGTTACTTCCTCTTACAGTTCTTATTATTTCTTATTTATTGCCTATTATTTCTGTGCTCCTGTCAGTCTATTTTACGCAGTATAGTATTTTAGTGCTCCTTACTGTCAAGTTAAGTAGCACAGAGGACAGTTCCTACTGAGGACTCATCTTATGCCCTCAGAAAAAGCCACATTTGTGTCAGAAGTGTCTGGACTGCCTACTCATTCTGTAGAAGCACATACATAACACTCATGTGAAACTTAATGCAACTAAAAAGGACTTTCCTAAGCACGGTAAAATCTGGTTTTAGAATACTGTAATACCTGGTTCTGGATAGTGTTTTTCTGAAGGTACTGACTCCAAGGATCTGGTATCTGTTCGTCTGCTCCTCTGTTCGACACCCGAGAATTTATTTTCAGCAAATAGCAACCCTGAGTTCCATATCTCTGTTTCATCTCTTCATAAATGGAGTCAGCTCTGAAACAGTAAAACAACATTTATCCTGCCTTGATATCAAACTGACTTTAGAGCATATACTGCAACAAACTATTTTAGACTATTATCCATAGTGCTTAAAAGGAAAATTTTTAAAACTATCTGTTATGCAAGAGTAAAATTGAAAATCTTTGAGAATTAGTCCAGAAAGCTACCAAAGAAAGCACCTACCCCAAAAGCTGGGACTGATTAACTTAATTTTACATGAACACAAGAAGATGGTCTAAAAATAATATTTTCAAACATCTGCCTTGATAATAGCGCACTGGCTAATGGATCCTGTTGCATGTCCAATCTCAACAGAATCTATCAACACAAACATTTGGTCAAAGAGCTCAGTGTAAGCTCATTGAAGTCAGATGACCCACCTTTGTTCTTCTCCTGTGCTTACATCATGCAGTAACACATAATATTTAAGTGTGTTTGGTATAAACCACTTGGGATACGAGTATTCACTACTGTGCTGAATCCGATGTTGTTCTTGGGACAGCTTCAGGAACTGCTCCACAGGGTCAGGTTCACTAGAAGAAACTACCAGCATACCTGAATTCATTAAGGACATATACCCAAAGAATACAAGGACAACCACTGACAATAAAATAGGAAGTGTATAAAATAGAATACATGAGTACAATACTTAGGCATGTAAAACATGCTACCACGAAAATACATGCAATTAGAATTTGGCCTTATTCTCAAAAAAAACCAATCAGTTAACTAACATCTGTCAAATGAGATGCAACAGGAGTTTGATCCAATTCTGACAGCGAATCTAAGTTTAAGCTGCTACAAAATAGCTAATTTAAGATTTTAGATAGAAACCAGATGTTCATAGCATACATGTACCTGAAATTTATCCCCACTGTATTTTAGCTTTCAACTTCCAAGGAGAGTTGAGGCTTTATGTTATCACCTGAACAACAGTGATGACCAGCATTCATAAACACAGCAACACCACCCAAGGTAAAAAGCAAAAGCATTCAGATTTTTACTTTACACAATCATTAATAAGCCCACTCTGCAACACCTACTCAACAAATCCAAAGACATTACTTCAGAGAAGCCAAAAAAGTAAAGTTATACTTTAAATGTTACTGAAATTCAGAAGCCAGAAGCAATAATTTTCAAAGTTAATTCTGCACACGTGTGGCCATTATAATACCTTTCCACTATACTGAAATTATAATGTTCAGGACAGAATTAGGAACAGAGTGTCATAAAACCTGCAGAATCATAATTACTGTAAAGCTTAACATCAGCTACATCATGAAACAGTGATTATTTTCAATTTCCCTGTACACAAGCAAATTGGGCCTAAGCTTTGGTAAAAAAAAAAAAAAAAGTGAAAACATTCAGGCATCGTTCCAGTTTTTCCAGACTTTTTTATCCAGCATAGCTCAAAGTTCACCAAATGTCCAAAACATCATCTTCCCAACCTCCACCACTCCATCTACTTACAAAAAGCTATTAAAAAGCAGCAGATGTATCCCAAACACACATTCCTCTGATGAAGTTAAGGGACAGACAAGATACCTAAAGAGCTACAGCAGAAAGTGTCTTAGGATGATGGAGTTTCATTTATAGGTATTACCTTTGAGCTCACTTTGAGACAAAAAGAGTGTGTGGAGAAGGGGAAAAAAACTCAGGCCAAATAGTCACAAAGAAAACCCTGACACTCATATGAAATCAGTCTGTGTAGTCAGACATAGTGGAAAAATATATACACTTCAAATCATAATTGTGAAAGAGGTACTGCAATTACCTCTTTTACTGCAAAATCTCCTACATTAAATTTTGTAACAGCCTTCCCTGGAGGGTTCTATACCATTCAAAGGATACAAGCAACATAGTGGTTTAAGAATTCGTGATCAGATGCAGGCATGGACTGAAGAAAGCATTCTCTGTAAGACTCAAACCAAGGAGTAGTAGCTGAAATACACAATAAAACAGGACAAATTAGACTATTCAGTGAAACTTGTTTACCCATTCACGAAAAGGAAGTATGAAAGACTATACCTGAAAGTGAAGCCAGCAAACTCTGACAAGGTTTGCATGGCAGTGGAGAAGGGGGAATAGTGCAAGGAGAAAGTAATTTAGATGCAACACAAGTAGGAGAAACAGTAACACTTGAATCAAATCCTGTGAAACTGAATAGCAACATAAGCACCACATTGCTCACCACTGCAGGCTCACGCGATTGAGTCCTTGTTTAAACCTATTACTCCTTACCCCCCCTTTAAACACCATACACTTGGCAAAGAAAGAAATAAATTCTTCTAACAGTCATTGAATTTCAGGTTTAGGGATGTAAGAATTGATCAAGAAACAAAACTTATTTTTTAGTATGTAGAGGAGCTAAGGACTACCAAAACCCTATGCTGCCTGTTTTCTAAAAGTGTTGACTTGGCTTGATAGTAGTCCCCTTCCCATGCCTTGCTAAAACAAACAGTTCAGCTGGCAAAGATCCAAGAAGACAAAACCTCAGATCCAAGTTGTGCCATTAATGCCTAACAATTTTAACCTGCAATGTTCAATGCCCTTTTACAATAGGTATTTCATTTTCCTAAGAGTAACAAATCAAGGGAAAGCAAGGATATCTGGGACATCAAAAAAATGTGAATCTAATATTGTCCATTTCTTTCCACTCCAGCTATAGGTCAACAATTATTTATTATTTCTTCTTTTAAGTCTGTTCTATTATATCTTTATTCTCCAACTCCTTTCCCTTAAGTGGGAAACAGACTCCAGAGCAAATCAATCCAGTTTCAATAACCTGATTTCACATTGAAGTAACTGGAATCCAGTGTCATCTCACTTGCAAATCAGAAAACAGTAACTAGTAGAGGAAAAAAAAAAAGGTTAAGAAATTCTGAAGGTATTTTCTTTATATTGCCCTAAAAAACCCACATCACTAGACTGCAGTAAATCAAAATAAAATAAGTAAATAAAAATTTCTAATGCTTTGTAAAGCTTTCATGCACCCCCTCATAAAAATCAAACCAAACCACCACTTTGATTTCTTAAGCTAACTTTAGAAAACACATTCATTTTTATGTTGGAACTATCTTGTATAGCATTCATTTAATGCCTTTTGTTTAATCTTATATTGTCAAGCCATCTTAGACTGGCTTCAGACACACAGAAGTCAGATATAGCCACACTTGAATTCAGTCTAGCATTCAGCACATGTCACATTAAAAAAAAGCCTAATAGGAGACAAACTTCCAGCTTTTGATTACAGCCCTTCCAGAAACTGTTCTCTGAGTACTCACTAGGATATAAAAAGCTCTTGGCTTTACTGTGTCCTACATGCAAATATGCCAACTATTTAAATTAAGGAAAACACAGCTTGTTGTTATTAAAAGCAAGCCATAAGAAAGTGACTCATAAGCATTTTTTTCACAAGTATAACAAGCAGTGCAGTAAATCTGGTTCAAAGTAAACACTGTTAAACAACCTAAGGCAAAAAATTTTCATTCTGTTTCACAGCCGAATCACAGCAAAATAAAAAACTCACGTGTTTTTTAAAATCTGAGTTACTGGGAAGTACTACGTTGTTTTGTGGATCGGTTCCCCTACCCTCTTTTTTCATTAGGCCTACTTAAAAACCTTGGAAGCGGCCTTAAAGGCAACGGGCTTCCCTCTACACAGCAACATTTACAGGATTCACCTGAGCATTTTACAGGGCTGTAATCACTTATTGTAGGTACTAGATAAACACACATCATACTCAAAACAAAAGCAGTGGTTGAAAAAAATTTCACAACTGTAACATCTCATAACGCATTACAGCAGTTCAGACCATCACTGTCATTCAGGTACCAAGATCTATACACTTTGCATTTTTCCAGTATGCTGGAACAGAACTGAAGTTTTGGCAAACTTGTTAACATGTTCAGAACTTATTAAGAAAAAAAAAGTAATATTTCTACATAACAGCTTAAGAATGGAAAGTCTGCTTCATGAAGTTTTGTATCCTTTAGGCATTTAGCAAGATCTGAACAGATACTACTGAAAGGATAGCTATTTTTAACCAAAGGCATAAACTATATTAAATATCTAAAAATGAAAAACATCAAAACCTGGTTTTACAGACCACAATGCAGAGCCTTGAGCAGTCAATAACCAGTGTGGTTTGGTAGCAATAAGTCTCATAAACTACATAAAAATGTAGTAGAAAGCTTCTTCTTTTCTTAAGGATCATACTCCAGAAAGAATGTCAATATAGCAGACATATGTGCTCTAAGTACAGCCAGTAGTTGAGTTCCAACTTAAAAAGTGTTACCATCCCCTGAGAAAGAAGCTCCCCAGAGAAACAGAAAGTACATTTGAAATACAGCACAGCGACAGTATATAGTTCTATAGGATCAAACAGTCCAGTGTTTGTAACAGCATCAGGTAATTTACCACCACCACCCTTACTGATTGTATGGAAAGACCAAATGATTTTGATTAACAAGAGTAGAAATGTGATTAAAAGAAAAATTAAAACAACCACCACCAACGATTTTTCAGTTAGGGGGAAAAAAATGGAGGAACACACATCTACATCTGGAAAAGTGCTGAACAGTTGTCGCAGATGGTAAGGAAAGGTGGATGGGGCACATGGAAAAGGAGTAAAGGGCAATTTGGCAAATCGGCACCAACCACAAAAAAATACCTGAATAAAACGTGGATGTGTTCAATTCCATCAGTGTCTCTTTCCAATTACTGTACCAAGGAACACTAGCTTTAACTGAGCGATCTGATAGAAAAAACACGATATTATTATACTAAAAAGGGTCAGATGCAAACACACTCTTGGCTTTCATACTCTGGTAGCATGAAGTAGAAAAAATCTACACCATGCAGGGCCATGAGAGGCACTGAAGAGATCTGACTCCAGCTAACCTTAATCATAAATATTTCAGGCTTCTCAACATTTGACAGTATGCTTTAATGGAAATCAATATTAATTTCTAGTTCAGCCCCTATTCTAGGCTTGAACACAAATGGAAATTCTATCAAGAAGCAAAGATTTAAGTTAGATACTCTAAGGCACTAATTTATGAGATTTCCAAGCCTATAGTACTAGTTAAAAGTACCTGAATACATTAGCTGCTGAAAGTGGTTGCCCCAACATTCTCTTTCATCTCAAACATATTCCACCAATGCCTCATGCCAGCATTTATATCATGCAGCCCTGAACAAACATAGTCAGGGAATTGGTCTAGTAGAAAAAATTCTTTCCTTCTCTCAAATAATTTAGTTCTTTAGTGGGACCATTTTTCTTCACCTTCTACATGCACCAGTATATGGGAGAAGCAGGCATGGCTGAACATGAGCAAATTTTCAGCAACCAAATTAGTCTCCCAGCACTAGATTATGGAACTAAGAATATTAAACAAAACTGTAACAAAGAAGGATTACAACAAATCAATACAACATAGCAGTTCCAAAACTTTTATCAAAGAAGGAACAGGATTACGACCCCAGTGCCAGAAACATCATAACTCAGCTTCTTAATCAGTGTTTATCTTTCTTCAAAACAGACTGCACTTGATCACTATTAAAATTAAGGAAATATATTTTAATATCATTATCTTAGAAAACTAATTCACTCCCAAAAAAAGAACAAATTAAGAACTAATGAGAGCATGTCCCATTTACAATTATTATGTTCTGCTGTCAGGAATGAATGTATCCCTTGGTTTGAATAAAATGCTCTAAGAAAGTTGAAAAAAAAATACCCTAAATGTCTTAGTAAATACTCATATCCATCTAAGCATAACAAAACCCTACTTCATACTTCTTCATATTCTCTTACACCGTAATAGGATACAAACTCCTCCCTCAACAGCATGCAGTGTTTTGTGAAACAGGTTTCCACTAAAAGACAAAGCTGGTGAATTTATCCTTCTGTGTGATCTTAAACAGCTTATACACCTCTCCTCCTGTCATATAAGCATATAGCCAGTCTGAATGGAAATAGGAACCTAATCACTGAGAGACCAAAGATAGTCAAACATTGTTATTTGTACATCTGAGGCTCCCGCAGCAAATATGGAAAACAAAAGGAGAGATATTTGCTTCTATAACTACAAAGCATTGCTTAATATAGCCACTATTTTTCTTCTCTTCTTTCAATACCTCACTTCTAAAATATGGTCACTAGAAACCTTATGGAAAAGTCTCCTCACCAAAACCAATCTGCTTTCTCAGGGTCTTTCCACCTCTAGAATTGCAGCAAACTTTCGATCAAAAAAAAAAATTTCATAGCAAATGGCAATTCATCAATGTGATCTATAAACACAGGCACAGAAATTGAAAAAATATGTGGGATTTTCAACAAATGTCAAAACCAAGAGGTTTCCAGGCTCAGGTCTTTTGCTTTAAAACCAACATGGGACATCAAGTTGAAGATGTATCTTGTGAATTAGGTATCCAAGACATAAGAATTATGCCATTTTTCCATCATCAACATAAAAAAAAATCTACTACAAAAACATCAGTCCATTGCTATAGCACAGCCAAACTCTTCATTGCAGGCTAAACTTTAAAAACAATAAATTACGCATGTTTAAATAGGGCAGTGCATACATGCTTTGAACTAAGTACATGCTCAGAGGCTTTAATGGATTAGGGTCTTAACTGGGAGGAGTTCAATCTTCTCAGATACTAAGATCTGGTCTCATTTAGCATTATTCACAATGCTTCATCCCTTGGAGATCTGAGAAAAAACATCTTTGGAATACTCTAGTCATTTTTGACAGTGAAATATGAAGCACAAGTTCCACAGAAGGAAAAAAAAAAATACAAGGAATCAAAGGAGTCACACACCTTTCCTCACAGTCCTTTCTCCTTAAACATTTTATGAATTTATCATAAAAAATAGAGGAAGCTAGGATAACTAACTTCAAGATAAAACTGCACATTAATATCAACACTGTAAGTCCTAACATTTATTCAGCCAAGTGCAACAAGTCACTGTATCAGTTTTGTAAAAAGAAAATTACACAACTAAAGCATCGCTAATGGCTACATTAAAATAATGATTTAACAGAAGTTGAAAAGAACTACAACACCAGGAAAATTAAAATTATTAATTCAGTTCAACCATTCTTTCAGCATTCTATAAAGCCAAAACTATTCGTTAAATCCAAAGTTTCAGTAAAAACAATGTCTCAAAATAGATAAACTCTGAATAATTTTAGTACGTGCCATGAAGCTGAACTGAAGGCTAGAAACTTCTCAGGCAACTCCAGTTTACATTATGAAAAATACAATACCATTACATACCACTGATGTTGAGATCATAATCTCCAGCCGTGATCACATTAGCTACCAGTCCTTCAGCAGGCTGACTGACAGACACAACATCATGCAAAAGTTTCCGAATGGCACCGGGCTGAGGTGGGTGAGTAATGATGTTGTTGACAGCGATCTTCAAATTTTTAATGATGTGAAGCTGATTATTAGGATCTCTCATGTGAACTAAAAACGAAAAAGAAGAGGATTTGTTGAGGAGTATAACAGACAGTTAAAAGAGTTGTCGTAAATTAAGTCTTTTTCCAACACATCTTTTCTTTAAAGATTGCTCCACTAAACTTCTCCATCACCAACTTTAGATCACAGTCCACAGTACTTGACTACCAAAAATGGAGGGGAGGAAGGTAGTAACAAAAAATTACTTGATGTTCAACATTAGGCTCATCTAGGCAAACTGATTAACAAACAGTATAGGATCTTAGCTGGTAAGAATATCCACTCCACTAACATAGTATGTGCACATCCTACACTGATGCACTCCCTTCCTTGTGGAGCATATCAACTTTCATGAAAAAGCCATAAGAATCAGGTATGGATTTCACACAACACATCATGTTTCAAGGAATCAGCATTTTCCAATAAATCCCCCACACACAAATAAATAGCATTTAAGACACTTGACCGGGATAACATAGTATTCATTCATCCAAAATTAACATATCCTAAAAGACAAGCTGAGAGAGGTGGGGTTGCTCATCCTGCAGAAGGGGGAAGACCCTAGAGCAGTCTTCCAGTACCTATAGGGGGCTTTCAGGAGAGCCGGAGAGGTACAAGGGCATGTAGTGACAGGACAAGGGGGAATGGCTTAAAACTGAAAGAGGGCAGATTTAGATCAGATATTGGGAAAAAATTCTCTACTGTGAGGATGGTCAGGCATTGGAACAGGTTGCCCAAAAAAGCTGTGATGCCCCAACACTGTAACAGTTAAGGCTTGGCTAGACAGGGATGTGAGCAACCTGGTCTAATGGAAAGCAACCCTAACCACAGCAGGGTAAACTTCAAACGAGATGTTCTTGAAGGACCCTTTAGACCTAAACCATTCTATGATTTTTAAAACTATAGCTCTCTTCGCAGAAGCTTTGTGAAAATTCCTCCCTAAAGCCATCTGTTTTTAAAAAACTGATCACAACATTTTCAACACTTGTAACCATTCTGGAGCCTACTGTGATTTTTCATATAATTTCACCCTACTTCAAACCACAACCACCATCAAGCAAGCCAGACTGTGAGTGCAGGCAGGACACACTGACTACGGCTGCCTAAGCCACCTGGTGCTACCACATGCCACACAGCACAGCCCGACTCCTCTGTGTGTTATTTTCACAAATCCCTGTATAATATAGAAAAGGTAGCACAAAGGAAAATTCTTGCTGTTTTCTTCATCTTTCAACTAACTACAGGATTCACACAATAAAGGTCTGAAATTGAGTATTCAATCTTCTCCAGCCTGGAAGGCACTCCACACCTTTTCCACAAGTCTCTTCAGAAGTAACAAGTGCACAGCTAAAGTCAGATCACATTAGATGTGTTACAATCCATCTTAAATGTTAAAACAGATTTCTAATATCATTCAGATCTTGACTGGTGTAGTTCTATGTTCCTCAATAACATATTCACTCCCTTACCCAGCACTCAAGCTCATGGGAAAACACAGTAAAGCAGGTTAAAAACCTCGTCCTGCCAAAAACAACCCAAAAATGTGTGGGTTTTTCCAGCTCTAAGTTTCAGATTGAACTTGTACATCATAAGGCTTTATCAACACCAGAAAAGGCAGTTGTGCTGGCTAAACTTTACTTATTTGAGTTCATAATTTCTATCAGAAAGCTGAAGCAGTTGTTTTGGATGGGGCTTTTTTCATCTTATCCCATTGGTAAATTATCAACCATATTTTGAAATTATCAAATGTAAAGGAAGTGGCAGGAACAAACAACTAGGAAACTAGTTTGCCTTCACCAGCACAGCTGTAACACTGCAATTTATCCTTGCTCTCTGTCCGAAATGTAACAGCCATTTCTATACAGAACACAGATGACATCTCTGACACTTGTTAAATGTTAAGGACTGAAATAACAGACATACTTGAAACTCCAAAAAGTGCTTGTTTTAATCCAAAAAAAGAGACATGTCTAGTGTTATACATTTCCTTCAAATGCTTATAAGATCATTTCAAAAAGTACTTTCCCAAAAGTGGCAGCAGTATAATGAATTAGAACAGTATCTTTCTCATCAAAAGTTGAAGACAATCAGATGCTAAGATACACATGAACAAGGAATTCCTAACATCACACTAAGCTCGGATAAGCACAGTGTTCCCATTATACTTCCTTACATCTTGCACATATTTAAGGCTTAAAATTAGATAAAATTATCAGAAGCTCTCTTTTTTTTAAGGTCAAACGCTTTGATTTAAGAGCAACCAGTGATATCTTAAAGTGATACTTGCTAATTGACATGAGCACTGTAATCTTCCCTCCCACAGAGACAGCATTAGTTGATAGAGTATATTTAAAGAATCTTAAAAACAGGATCTTATTTTAAAGGAAATCTACCTATATACACAATATATGCCTATCAATATATACAATGCATACACTTGTTAAATCAGGCATTAGTTGTAACTAACAACAAAACGGTTAAGAAAGCCACTCTGAGAATAAATATGAAGGTATAAAATCCTAAATATACTTCTGGTTTCCTTTATTAAAGGAAGTTGAAAGTTTGGGAAGGGTTTTGGTTTTGCTCTCCTCTGATGAGTAGATTAAATACTGATTTGTGCAAAGGATGATCCCACTGCACCTAGGGATTCTACTTGCAGTTAGATAGAATCTGGCCTCCTTGGATTGAGCAACCGCAACAGTGTGTGATTTTACACTACCTGAAGGATTACACTGTGTTCTGGTCCTTCACAGTAGAGAGCTCAGCTCTCTACTGATAAATTCCTGTTTATCAGAATTGTTTTGCACATGTATCAGTAGACCGATTTCCTACTTGCACTGCTTCTCTAAGCAAGGGTGATGAACACACAGCCTTCAGCTGGTTCATAAGCTACCTAATTCCTAATTTCAGACAAAAATTAAACAGGACAGGACAAAAAGCAGTCCTGTATTGCAACAGGACTCTCAAAATGCAGTAGCAAATCCATGACTTAGCTTTTCAAATCAAAGAATCCAAGAAGCAATGCATGTACTTTAAATTTCTGCATAAGTAAGGGACAGCTTATTTCTAAAGGGATGAGCTACTAATCAATCCAATTTTATGTTACAAATTCAATGAAATAGCCACTAAGTGAAGAGAGACAGATTAATTTAAAATGGGCAGCATTTCACATCCCCTTAAGAAAAATTGTGCTTAGAAAGGAAGACGTCAATACAGAATTACAGAATCACAGAACTGTTATAGTTGGAAGGGATTACTGGAGATCATCTACTCCAGCCTTCCCACCAAGCCAGGATCACCTCGAGCAGGCAACAGGAACTGTCCGGGTATGTTTGGAATGCCTCCGGAGAGGGAAACTCTACAATCTCCCTAGGTAGCTGTTCCAGTGCTCTGCCACCCACAATGGAAAGAAGTTTTGCCGCATGTTGAAGCAGAACTTTTTGTATTTTAGCTTATGGCCATTGCTCCTCACAGAATCCCAGAATAGTTACCACAATATCATAACCATACATAATATGAGAAAAATATTATAACCATAAGCAGTAAAATACAGAGCATGTCATGTACTCACATTGTGCTTATACTTCATATCTCAAACAGATCATTTAGTCATGCCTTTCTTCCTCTCTGTCCTTACCCTCACACATGCTGCTTCCAACACAAAAACTTACAGTCAGCATGCAATAACATTTTTTTCCAAGAAGTAGGAAGAGGAATTCACTCTTGGAGTAAGGAACTGGAGCCAGGCTTGTGGCCTGCTGGATCAGAATACACACAAACTAGTGCAGCAACAAAACTCACTGTGCCAATTTTCACTCAGGGAACACTGAGGATAATTCAGGTTTGCAAGTTCCTTAACTGTCACAATAACTGGACCAAAATAGTTGCAACTAAGTAAATTAACCTTCCAAGTGGATGCTACATTTTGAATATTCTGCCTGGTTTTGTTTGCTAGATGCATTTTGAGAACCTTTCACTAAAAGAAAGAGATAATTAACCTCAGAGCTCTAAACATGTGAGCATCTGCATTTATTATTCTTATCTCTGCTGCATTCTCACATAGTTCATAAGCATTGTTAAACAAAATGAAAAACATTTATGAACAAGTTACAGTTGATAAGTCACTAAGATTCACTTGAAAATTAAGGCAGATTTTTAACACAAAGTAGCTTTTAAGCTGTTGCCATTTTTTAAGAGAGAAATGCAAAAATCTAATGAGAATGACAGTACAAGCTTCATTTTCTTGCACTCTTTCCTTAGGACATGACATGCTGAGGCTGCAGTCTAAGCTACATGTCTGTCAGGTCCAAATCTGACAAATGTCATTGCATCATTATTCTGACAAGCAGTTCTCTGCAAACTGCTGTCCTGCACACAACTGTAATGGGCAGCAGCTTGAAATACATAGCTTCCCTAAATTACAAGCAAACAAATTCCTGACAGTAAGTTAAAAAGCATCACAGCTAAAATCTCTGTTGTTTCGCTTAAGTGGTCAATCTTAAAAAAAGTTTTCCCGCTGCTTCACGTGGTCATTTTGCCACATAAGCAGTTCAATTCCCACTTCTTCTTTGCACAGGTCTTACTCACAGAAACGTCAACAAAAGAAAACAAACAAAAAAAAAAAAAAAAAAAAACTACAAAAAAAAAAAAAAGCATATAGGATCAAACTACAGGCAAGAGAAAGGAAAGCCCTGCAACTGAAATTACGATTAATGTTTCTGAAAGACTAGCCGTACTTTCAACACCTGGCTATGCCAAGTGTGAAATCCTGTGGAGTCTACAGCAAGAGTCAGGTACGAGTACTAGGGAGGAAACAGCAAAGTGGTTTTAGTGGAAGACAAAAATCCGTCTGGAAGAGCTGAATTTATAGACACCTTCCTCTTCAGCCGTGGGATGTCTCCAGGAGAAGCCAAACTTCCCCGGTTCCACAGACCGAATGAAACTAAGCTGACTTACCAGCTGTCATCTGCGACAACCCCGGCAAACGCGAGTCTCCGCCAAGCCTGTCACGGCTCCCGGGGACACCCACCCGGGCGGCCGCCGTCACGGCGCCGGGAAAGGGAGTCGGGCCCGTCCCGCCGGGCAGTCCCGGCGGGCACAGCCCCGGCGGGACCCCCGGAGGCCGCGGGCGGAAGGGAGCGGCGGCGCCACCTCCCCCGCCCCGTGTAAACAACGCGCTCCGCTCCCGGCACCGACCTTCCGAGGTGAGGCGGCAGAAGGGCCTGACCAGCTCGGCGAAGCTGAGGTTGTTCCTGCGGGTGAGCCGCTCCGCCTCCTCGCTGCACAGCGCGGCCACCAAGGGCACGAACGAGTCCTGGATGAACTCCTGCACCGACTGCACGCACTGGGCCATGGCCGCCGCTCGGGGCCGCCCGAGACGGCCCCGCCACCTTTCTCCGCAATTCTCCGGATTATTCCCTCCCTCCCTCCTTCCTTCCTTCGTTCCCTGGCCGCTGCCTGTCCGCGGCTCCTGCCCGGGCCCCGCTCAACGCCCACCCAGCGCCGCCATGTTGCGCCTCAGCCGAGCCCCTCGGGGAGCGCCCGCTCCCGGCGGCCCCCGCGCCCGCTCATGTGATTGGCCAAAGGGGCGGCGCCGGGCCGGGAGGGGGAGGCGACGGTGGCCGGCCGGAGGGGGGGAGTGTTGGGCTGTGTGCTCCCCCCGCCGGAGCGGGCAGTTGGTGCGGTCCGGGCGGGCGGGGCCGTGGGATGCTCCTGGGGATTCCTGGCGCCGGGAAGCGGGTTTGGCCGCCGGCGGGAAAAATAGAGCTGTGGGATTTATTAAAAAAAAAAAATAAATAAAAAAAAAAAAACCAAAAAAAACCCCACAAACAAAAAGGCCAAAAATGGCAACAAAAAGCGCCCAAATTACCCCAAAACAAGAAAAGTAGGGGGGAAACAACAAAAAAAAGCGCCAAAATACCGACGAAACAAATCAAAACAAGAAAATTGGAAAAAAAACCCAAAAAACAACAACAAAAAAGGGCCAAAACTACACCAAAGCAAAGCAAAGGAGGGAAAAAAAATCAAAAACAAGAACAAAAATCCAAACAAAACAAAAAAAAGCCTCAAAGCAACAACCTTAAAAACACCAAAATAACCCCAAAACAAAAACCCCACACATGAATAAAAGTACACACACAAAACCTTATGGTTAGCCATAAACTAAAACACAAGGTCCGCTTCAACACGAGGAAGAACTTTCCACCGAGGGTGGCAGAGCACTGGAACAGGTGCCCAGGGAGGATATGGATTTTCCCTCTCTGGAGACATTCACCCACCTGGACACGTTCCTGTGTCACCTGCATTGGCAACCCTGCATTGGCAGGGGGGATGGAGCAGATGATCTCCAGAGGCCCTTCTAACCCTGAAGTTCTGTTAAAATAAATGTGAGAAACGCCAATCACTTGGTTTTTAAAATTTTAAAAGTTTAATAATAATAAAATGGTTATAAAAATAGTAATACAATTAGAGTAATAAAAATTCAGAGTTAGGACAATTGCAAGACAATAAAAAGCAAAGAATTTATGGACGTCAGGATGCTCTCAGGTACTTAAGCCACGACAAGCATACCTTGTGAACAGAGGAATAACCTTAAAAGCAATAGCCTGTTGCATATTCATATATCTCATACATGATGCATAAATTCCTTGCAAATTAAGAATTTCTCTGGGTTTTGTCAGCTCCTTTCCCTTAATCCTGGTGGTTCCATGAAGATGGAGAGAAGGTAGAAGAATATTTGTCTTCTCAGATATGGAGGCAGTAACTCTTTGTCCTGTAGCTGTTACCTCTGTGAGAAGAGTTTCTTGATTATCTTATCCCTTGCTTGAGCTAGTAAAAAAATCCTACATCGCAGAGTTTCGATTTTAACATTATGTTTTAACCTAAAACTATATTTAACATACTACTTAAGAGAATTAATACAGCATAACTTTCTAACATTGCGCATACAATATTCATTCTAATATTTGTCAAAAGTCAATCATAAAATATGCATTTTTCACAGTAAAGAGTTGCTGGGGTGTTCTCTGGCAGATCTCTCAGTGCTCAGTTGTATGCAAACTGGGCAAAATAGCTTCATTTTTAAAGCTTTGCCAATTAAAGCATGATATTAAACAAAGTTCTTTTGCACCGTGGTGGGCAGCTGTCCTGGAGGATTCTCTGGCACCAGAAAACTGGTTTGTGGTGGGACAAGAGCTGGCATTTGGCCCCAAAACCTCACCCAAAGAAACGCAGTTCTGTCCGTTTTATTAAAAAAAAAAAAAAAAAAAAAAAAGGAAAGAAACAAAATCTCACAACAACAACAACAACAAAACAGCAATAATAAAAGCAGAACAAATGCCCCATAAAACCCAAGTAAAACCACCAAACAAACATATAATACCTGCTAGAGTGGTTTACTTATGCACAGGAGGCTCCACTTGAACATGAGGAAGAACTTCTTTACTATGTTGGTGAATCTGCTGTGATTTTCTAGAGAGGTTTGCAGTCTCCCTCACTGGAGATACTGAAGAGCTGTGTGGATGCAATCCTGTGCCATGTGCTCTAGGATGACCCTGCTTGAGCAGGGATGTTGAACCAGATGGCCACTGTTGTCCCTTCCAACCTGACCCACTCTGTGCCTGTTAAAAATTAAGGAGTTGCTTGGGTGTTCTGTGGTAGACTTGTCACTGCTCAGGTGTATGCATGAAATTCAAATGGGATTAAATAGCTCCTTTTCTCTTTTTCTGAGATTTGCATGTTAAAGCAGGATTATCACCCAAAGTCCTTTTGCATTTGTCACCTGAGTAAGGAAGTAATGAGGAAGACAACAGTGATTATCCAAGATGAAATAAATTATTTTGAACATGTTATTTGCAAAAAAGGAGTGCTGTAGTAGGGCTGACTTTTAACACCCTGCCAGAGACAGTCCTTAGGACAGGGCTTGTAAACATCATTAAAAAGCCGATCTTCTGTGAATGAAAAAATAGTTTTTAATATAGACAGTAAGAAAAAAAATCTAATAGGCCATACAAGTTGCTGTTGTTCAGGACTGGGTCCTGGGAATGTTATCTAAAAGCTACTAAATATTGCAGAAAGAATATTTTTTTGCTTTGATAGATTATTAGAACAAGGGGAAGGCCAACTTCCACAATATTTATGGCTTATCCACATTTTGAAATTCCCCAGGGCTATTCAAAAATCATGTGGTCACAGATACTTTAAACTAGGACCTCCACAAGGATGCTTGGGAAAATGGTTCTTGTCTGCTATTCCTCTTGATCCATTACTTGTGAACACTGCATGAGTTATATCCGGTAGAGGGAAGTGGATCCTGATCCTGCACACATGACTTGAGGTTAAAAATTATTTTAAAATTCAGACCATCTTCACATCCTTCTGGCAGAGATTCAGTTTTCAATTTAAATTTCTGGCAGAAATTCAAATTTCATGTGGCTATTATCAATCTTCAGTAACCACTATAGAACAACAAATCAGTCATTTTAATTGTAATTGTGTTGGAGGTTTTTTATTATAGCATCTCTAAACTTATATTTGAGTGCTCAGAATTGATTCTTTGTGAATTTAAACATGTTGTACACATTTTCCTTTTACCCAGTATTAAAAATTTTGTGCTTAGAATGTCTCTCTGGATGATCTGTCCCAGTAGGACACTGTCTACAGGACTGGTTTTGTCACGCTACTGTAATGCTGCTCTGTCATCTCATGGACTGCTCTCATTAGACAGGGTAACAGAATCACAGAATCAATTAGGTTGGAAAAGACCCCTGAGATCACTGAGTCCAGTCTTTGAAGGAACACCACCTTGTCAACTAAACCACAGCACCAAGTGCCGTGTCCAGTCATTTCTTGAACACCTCCACGGATGGTGACTGAGAACCTTTTGATGCAGCCTCGGACTTGCCTGGAAAATTCAGAAGGGATGAACAGCCCCATCTTCAATGAACACAACATCTCGGGGTGTTGTATCCCAGATCTGTTACTAAAAAATTGGGCAGTCAATTAGGATTCAAACACCTTTATTTACAAGGCAGAAAATTAATTAGAAGGAACATAATAGATGGTTGCTAAGGCCTTTCAGCACCCTCAGTCTGGCAATGTGTGCATTGCATTTTGCTTTCAGATTCTGACAATGTACAAATAGATAGGGCAGACAGTGGACAGGAATACAAAGGGATAATACAATGTCACAATCCATGTTTTAACCATCTGGATTACTTAACTGAAAATACTGGTTATCACAGAGAAAGCAGTGGGTCAAAGGAAATGGTATCTGAACAGAAGTAGGAGAGTATAGGATACAAAGAGACAGGAGAAGCCTACTCAGGGAATAGAAAAAGAGAACAAATAGTAAAGTAAGAAAGCGTCATGAATAGATTGGAGCATGTACACTCCTTCAGTTGTAAGAATAACCAGAACACAACTGTAAAATTTGGAGCTGAAACTGCTTAACCTCTACCCTTTGCTGCTTCTTTGCTGCTGCCAGTTGTGCTTTTGTACTTCTTTGGGCTGGAAGCTTCCTGAACTTGTAAGTTTTGCAATTCTTTTATGCAGATAACCAAGCTAGATCTTTCTGCTGAACTCAGATACTGCTGAGGAAATTCATTTGAAAGGGTTTTTCCATCTTTTAATAAAATATTTGTATTATTGTGTAGGTTTAAAACAGAGAAAAAAGAATATAGAGTTGCAAGAGCTGCAATTTCAGGTTGAATCCAATACTTTCATTTGCAGTCATTTAAATATAGTTGTAGTTGTTTCCCTGTGGTAGATACAGGTTAAACTATGTCCTTGAAAGTTTACAACATGGATTCCCAGTTCCTTGCAAACTTCAGATGTACATTTGAGTTTATGCTCAGTTCAAATTTCTGAGTTACAGAATTAATGTTTTTCACAGCAATCCTCTGTGATAATTTGAAATGAAAATTTTAACATTTAGCTAAAATCACACAAGAAGCTAGCTATTAGTGGGGTGGAGTTGGTTGGTTGCAGGTTTTTTTAATAAACCACAGCAATACAAATGATTTCAAGTTCACTACCAACGCAGATTTACCACCAGTTAGCTGTTGTGTGCTAACTCCTCAAGATTAATCTGGGATCCTGATTTTTCAGCTTTTGGATTTGCTTATGACCTGCACAAACCTGAACAATGTGGTCATCTGTGTCAGCAGACACTGGTATGGAAGACAAATTGCTGCCAGAGCAAAGCTGTTCCTGCAGTCTGCCATGCATCAGTAGCCCTCTAAGTTTCAGTGCCTTCCACAAATCTGGAAAAGCTCATGAAATGCCCTTCTACAGCTTACAAGACAAAGGAAGAACAACACATGCACAGAAGAAAGAGGAACTCCTCCTAAGCTGAATCAACACAGCTTGTCCTTTCTCAAAAGAGTAGGAAAAAAACCCAGTTTTGAAAGAAGATTTTAGACAGCAAGGCAGTAAGAACTGTTCCAGGGGCCTCAAGTGTATGTCAAGGCCAGAGTGGCTGGGACATGGTCCAGGTGATCTTCTGGACAGAGTCTGCTAGCTGAAGCAGAAGGTCAGATCTGAAGCT